CTTTGTTTCCAGTAGAATTAGTCTAAATAATATAGGGATTTACAGAGACGATGGTTTGATGGTAGTAATTATAATAAATATAATAAAATTATAATAAATAAACAATTATTGCTCTATTATCAGTATCGAGCCCTCTTTTGGATCAATGCGGTGAACGCTGGAATTTATATATTACTTTAATTCTCATTGCATCGGAGATATATATATATATATATATATATATATATATATATATATATATATATACACACACATATATATAAATAAAATATGCACGCAATCACAGGAAGGTGGAAAGAGAGAAAGGTGAGTGGAAAAAGAGAGTGTTTTTTTTTTACTCCATTGCCTTCTCTACCCCCACTTCCTTCACAATAATAAATTCATATCTTTCTTTCAACCACCCTCTATATATGACTTCTGGCAAAAACACAAGCAATGTTCACAGACTTTTATAGCAATAATAATAATAAAGATATATATATATATATATATATATATATGTATGTATGAAGAAATATAGTCTTAAGGTGTGCTATATTTATAGTATAAAGTGCTCAATATCAGAGATAGAGCGTGTGTAAATATAAAAGGGAACATTGAAGTCAACACTTAGAAGCAACAGGCTGTTTCATGCTAGATGCAATTGTCATGCCATATATATATATATATATATATATATATATATATATATATATACACACACACACACACACACACACATATATATATATATATATATATATATATATATATATATACAAAAAGAAAAATTAAATAAGCAAAAATAATGCAAATCAATAAGTAAATAAAATAAGTAAATAAACAAATTAAGAAACTATGAAAACAGAAGTAAACATAATAACAACAAATAATAAAGTAATCAATAATAAATAATGAGTAAGAAGAGGTAACAAGCAATACTGTAAAATAATCACAAAACTGCATTTGGATCCACAATTATTTCCACTCAATAGGTTCTAGAACAATTTGAAACATAAGCGTTATTGCCCACCAAATAACTGTTGAAATATTACAATAGACATACCCATAATGCACCACTGGCCAGCATATGTAAATAGCCAAGCCAAAACACAATACACATGGCCTGAAGATTGCATTCAAGCATGAAACAGACTGTCACTGCTAGATGTTGACCTCAATGTCCATTTTTATATTTATATATGCTTTATTCCTGATATTGATCACTTTTTATCCATAAATATAGCATACCCTAAAATTATATATACATATATATAGAGTGTATGCTTGCCATAAAAAATGATGGCAATTGTTACAAAGTTTAAATAGTGATATAAAATGACAGAAAAGTCTTGAAATAATGTATTGTGATTCAATAAAGCAGAGATGAAGATTTCCCAACTAAAATAGATGCCAATGAATCGTTTAATTAATCCACCCCCCTTATATTTTTAGACATTAAATATTATCTATGATTCATTGATTACATTACTCCTTGTATTATATAAATCACTTTTTGCTCAATATATTTACATGTTAAAAATTTTAATGTGTTTAATATGACAGTGAAATGGAAATACCTCTCAAAAGAAAATGATTAACAACAGAACAACAAAGACAGTATCAACAAAGTCTATTTCAAAACTAAGTTGAAGGAAGATGAACATTTAGTAGACAAGAGTATCTGATTGCCTCACATGAAAGGCTTAAAAAATAAGACTGCAATCTAAGAAATGTAGGAGTAAAGGAACTGATTAATCAAATAGTTCATTTTGCTCAGGAACTTATTTTGTCTATATGCAGACATTTTATTTATATAGATTATTAAACTGACTAAGGGAAGTAATCACTCATAAATTTACTTAATTAACGATTTACCTCCCTTTCCACTACAGAAGGGACAAGAAATATATAAATAAATACATATTGATAATTATTATATAGTTTTATATGAACTTGCAAAACTAAAATAATCTACACTTATTAATTAAATAAAGAGTTCAGTTCAAAAGTCCCTGAAGTTTATCCAGAATGACAAACACCTGAAGAAGGCCAGAGAGCACAATGGCTGAAACACTGTGATAACAACAACAAAGATGGGGACATTAGTTTGAATGTAAATAACATAAATAATTATGTGAAGTAATTGACAAAGTTTTCAATAAAGAAAGAAAAAAAGAAGAGGGCAAAATAATATGACGCAAACAACATATATGGAAGTCAAAACTAAAAGCAACAATAATAATATTTGATATGCATACAACTCCATCCATGGTTTCTGCTATCACCTCTAAACTGGATCCCCACAAAGCATGTGAACTTTATGGTATTCCTGCAATAGTCCTTAAGACACATACTCCTGAACTGGATCTGGTTCTCTCTAAATTCTACAATAAATGCTTTGCTGCTTGTTGGAAATCCTCTTCTGTAGTTCCAGTCTTTAAGAACACTGGTGAACTGACTGTTCCTTCTAATTATCAGCTAATTAGCCTTCTACTTCTTTTTGGCAAACTACTAGAGGCTCTAATCAACCCTGAAATGGTTAAGCATCTTACTTCACTGGGTTTTTTTTCTTCAGATAAACAATATGACTTTCACTTCTCTAGGTCAACGCTGATGTGTTAACAATTATTACTGAAAGATTCTTTCAAGGTTTAGATAAAAATGGTGAAGCTCGGGCTATTGCTTTGGATATCTCAAAGGCATTTGACAGGGTTTGGCATGTGGGTTTTCTTCACAAGTTGAAAGGTTATGGTAACATAGTTTCACTGTGTCTTTTCTATAGATATTTCCATGTTCTGAAGAGCTTTCCTCTTTGCTACCTAGACTTTACATATTTAAGCACAGTACTAGATTGGCAGTTAGGTCTCATCATTTTATAATTGTAATGGCTAGTTATAACCATAATTATAATGCCAACAGTTTCTTCTCTCACTTGTGAAACTCATTTTCATCTTGTTTTCAAGTTACCATTTCTCTTCAAAAATTTAAATGCAATGTTCATCATTATTTTCTATTTTCTTAATCCCTGTTCTTTTATTGTCTTTTTGCATAATAATGTTTTCTTTTATTCATATTATTTTTTACACTCAGTAACACCCTTGTGTCTTAGTGGCTTTGTTGTTTTGCTTGGGGTGAAATGATAAAAAAAAATTAAGTAAAACATTCATAAAGAAAGAATTGCATTCACATGCAAATGGGATACAGTCTAGTAGTTATAGCATTCTGATAAGACAAGAAAGAACAAAAATATGGGGGATGAGACAGATAATTTGTCCATTTTTATTGGTTAGAAAGAAATCCCAGCATGCATCTCTAAGATTTAACTATAAATTTTGGTATGGAATGTTCTCAGGAGTTATTCCTTACTTGATTGGAACCAACAAATTATAATTCTTCATCTCAGAAATTCAGAAAAAAAGGGTAATTTGCAGTTTAAGCCCTGTGCTCAGTTTCTAATAAAAATTTCCTGAATAGTTCAATTTAGGTGTAAATTTACATGTTTAATTTGAAAATAAAGAAACTTTGCTAAAATCTACCATTTTGAAGTTATTGATGATAAAATTTCAGATTACTTTGTGTCGCGGCTGCCATTACTAATGTTGTTTACATACGTTTGCCTCGGAGTAGTCATGCATGGAAGTTTCATTTGTCTTGATTAATGTGCACGTGAAATTTAAAAAGAGCATGATTATTTACAAAATAAAAAAAACATGCTAGAAAGGAAATAATAATAATAATAATAATAATAATGATGACAAGCACAAATTTAAGGTTCAAATTTGCTTTTTTTATTAAATTATTGAGTTTTACAAAGCTTGATTATTAAGTGCCTTAAAATAAGATGTCATAAGTATTACAATTTGTTTTATTATTTAACTTGTTTTATCATAAAAAAAACAACACTTATTGCTTTTCTAAATAACTTAAATTTACCAAAAACTCTAACCCTTGTGCAATAATTGAGATGAGTAAGATCAGTAAAAAAGCCGTTAACTAAGTAAGCTTCTGCACATGACTACTCTGAGGCAAATGTATGTAAACAATGCCCGTAATTGTCATTAACTCCAAAACAGTAAATTTTAGCAAAATTTATTTGTTATTTTTTAACTAAGCAGTTACATTTACACCTAAATGTAACTCTTCGGAAAATCATACTTATTATAAAACCCAGGTTGTGTGTGTGTGTGTGTGTGTGTGTGCGTTTATATAATGGATCGAATTTCCTACATTTTTCAACCGATTTCAACAAAAGTTCACAGGACTATGTAAAATTACCTTGCTGTGGTTCTGACAGTGCCAAAAATTGGAAAAACACAATTGTTTTTGCACGAAATCAATTTGAAAACACAATTAAGAGGCATCGCTGTTTCGAGAATGAAAGGGGGACAACTCATATCGAGTTATACTTATTATAAAACCCAGATTGTGTGTGTGTGTGTGTGTGTGTGTGTGTGTGTCCATTCGTTTATATATGGAATCGGATTTCCTACATTTTTCAACCGATTTCAACAAAACTTCACTTTTTTTTTGGCAGGTAGTGTTTCTTATTGTCTTGCAAACTTTTTTCTTTCTGTTTACATTCAGAATGCTTTAAAAATTCCATTTACAAGACAATTGTTTATAATAAAATTAAAAAATTCTATTTAATCGGTAGACTCATAACGATTGAAAACAATGTTTTTGTTTGACCAATTCGTAAAAAAAAAACTAATTAAGACATGCATGTCCATCAACTTTAAACAATCTTTGTCGATTTTATTTTTCAGTCTTTATGATGGTCGATACTTGATCTATCTCTTACTGTTACATCCCCAGGCAACGCCGGGCTCTACTGCTAGTTTTTAATAAGCTTAAACTGCAAATTACCTGACAAAAATAAGAATTAAATTCTTGGAACATCTGTTTTTGTTTGAATTGAAAAAAAAAAAAAAAAAAATCTCAAAACTAAACTTGTTTCAGAAATTTAAAGCAAAATGTATTTTCTTATTCATTTTTAAATTCTGTCTTTAAAATTCCAGAGTCAATTACTGGCTTGGAGGAGGCAAGCCTTATACCTTCCATCTTGTCAACTGCCTTCTTCATCTTTCTGTGATTCATCTGCTGATTTACGTTTGTCAGAGATTCTTCCATTTACCTCATAAATCAGCCCAACTGGTTGGACTTCTGTTTGCAGTTCATCCAGTACATTCAGAAGCTGTAAGTACAATTCTCAGAAAATATATATATGAATCTATATTTAGGCAGTATATCTTCATTAAATCCTCTTGAATTCTCTGATTGATCCCAAGTACTCTTAATCTCATCCATGATGAGATTTAAATGCAGAGCATCACAAGCACCAACTTGATCGGTCATTGCACATAACTCAGATTTTAAATATCTCACAGTTGGTTTTATCTGTGTCAGTGCTTACTTGTTATGAGAAACAAATGTAAAACTATTTTACTGATATTTACAGAAATATATATATATATATATATATATATATATATACCCACACTTACTCCCCACTTCCTGGAGGAGGAAGTGTGGGTTTGTAAACAGTGACTATTATGGCTATTATAGCAAGACTCTTCGGTAAAACAAATCGAGTCCTCTCAGTTACTGTGTGTTTATCTAAAAATAAATATGCTAAAATTCACCTTCATCCCTGCTGTGTGCTGATGGCATAGTGGTAGAATGTCCAACTGACACCAATTCAATCAGGTTTCGATCCTAGCTAGAAGCAACCAAATGTCGAGCCACACTGAAGAGCTGTGATACAGCAAAAGTCTGTCTGTGTATGACTATATATATATATCCTGGTAAAATGAGAACAAATGGAATATAATTCCACTGTATGTAACATTTAATTAATAGAGTCTAGAGCTGAATAATATTTATTTTAGGATATTAAAACAAAAACATGTTAAAAATCACTACACAATCATGTTTCAACACCACAAATGTGTCTCCTCAGGTGATGGTAAAATACTGACAAGTGAATGATTAATTTAATTTTAAAAAGCAGAATACTTACTCTTTCTTAGAGAAAAAAAAACAATAAAAATAGGCTTGCGGGCCTTACCGTGATTAACCAATTGAATGTGACCTACGCTAAATTCAAACTCACCGAAAATATTTTTAAATTGGAACAGTTACTTGACAATAACACCAAATTTAGAAAACTTACTAATAATCCTACTAATCAGCTAAAAGTGAAAATTAATAAAATAATCATAGCTAACAATGCGGAACAAGACAATCTAAAACTTATCAAAATAATCGGACACTATAAACCACAATACATTTACAGTTTTATCAAAACACACAAGCTTAACTTTTCACTCCGTCCTATTATATCCCAAATTTCCAATCCTGTTTTACAACTAAAATGCTTAACCAATTAATTATACCATCTATATCTAATAAATACAGCATTAAATCAACCCTTGAACTTATACAAATATTAAAAACCAAAAAACCTAATATTGAAACCATATCATCACTTGACATTGGAAATCATTTCACTAACGTTCCAGTTAGAGAAACCACTGACATTATTATTAAAAATATATATAATAATTCACCTCTCCTCTCCATTAAAAATTCAACCTAAAATACTAAGAAAATTACTTTTAACCTGTACCACTGATGTCTGATTCTAGGATCACAGAAATAACGTACATGTGCAACATGACATCGTTTCTATGGGTTTATTTCCGAGTCCAAACTTCAGTAAAATCTACATGGCCAACCTTGAAAATAATATATTTATCACCACCAAGAAACCCTCCATCTACCTAAGATATGTTGATGATATACTTATTTTAGTTAAAAACATAGAAGAAATACTGGAACATTAAAAACTCTGTCCTCAAGTTCATATATGAACTTAACAAAGAAAACAAAATCCCTTTCCTTGACATTTTAATAGACACAAATAATAACACATTTACTACCTTTAAAAAAAAAAACAACCAGCAAAAACTCTTGCACTCTCAACTATAAAAGTGAATGTCCAGATTACTACAAAATAGCACTTATACAAAATTTAATTAACCGAGCACAAATTCCTCCACAAAAAGATTTTCTACACTGAACTAAAAAATATTAAGCAGACTCTAATTAATAATGACTTCCCAAACCATATTGTAGATGAACAAATAAGACAATTTATCAAAAACCTCAATACACATCAAATAAAAAATGGTACTTCCTCAAAGGAACCAAAATAGATCAAACTCTTGTATTGTAACCAGGTGCATGCTAACTACAAACAGGATGTGAAAATTATTTAAAAAAAAAAACATTCATACTAATATATCTCCTATGGATCCCAATAAAAAAAAATCAAATTAATCATATATTATACAAAATACAATACAACCAATTTAATTATTCACAATAACTCCTCCCCACCAACTGATGTATCAATTCAATTGTCCCTTGGGAGAATGTATCTCTGACAGAAAAACAAATATATATGTTGGATATACAACAACTACATTATCAAGTCATCTGACTCTACACATGTCTGACCATTCGTCCATTGCAAGACATTTACACCAACATTCCTGTCCGCATTCACAGTATAGAAAAATACTGATTGATAACACAACTATCCTACACCAAGAAAATAACAAATTAAAACTACAGATCCTCAAAGCAATCTACATTAAAAAATTGAAGCTGACACTGAATAGAATCAGCTACAAATACTGTAATAATGTTCTAAAATGCCTATAAAAAGAACAGTTTTCATGCTTTAATGCTCGACCATGACATTGCACCATAAAAGAAAAAATTCCATAATAGATAACTTTTTACATTCTAATGAACGCTAAAGCATGACTGTCAGCTGTTGCATTTAAACGCAAAAGAAAAAATTCAGTAATGGATGGCTATACACAGTTTTTACCTTACCAGTCGCACCCCTGATGATGATCTCAGAAAGAGATGGAAAGTACTTGGGAAATAAAAATGATTCTCATTGTTACAGTGCATTGCTTGCCTCATATGATTATAATACACAGAAAAATATTCATGAATATGAAAGGATTATGCTAAAAATAATCAGACATAATGTTTGTAATGTATTCAATCAGACATGCCTGAACGAGAATTCGCTGCCTAAATACACAAATTTTAAAAAATATATATTATATAAAATAATAGCTGGCTACTCATATTCAAGGATACCCGTCTACTAAGGCAGTTAGCCAATCCTTATTGCAGATACTTACTCAGGCACATTTGTGTTTGCTCAACACCCACAAAGTCTACCTGTGGTTTATACTGCAACTATGCTTAGCAGACCTTAGTTACAGTTTCTGGGAGAGAGCGTGTTATCTAGCATGAGTAACAATTTGAACATGGGCAACACACTCAAGCCCTCGGCCACAATGACTGGTGACTTTGTGCTAGCACAGCTATCAATAGCCTTCAAGAGTTCTGTCTACACAATTTCACTCACAAGGCTTGGGTCAACCTGTTGTATGGTTTTACAGGCACTTTTCAGAGGTGCCACACACTGGGATTGACCAGTCCAATAACATCAGGATGTCTCCTTCCTGACAAATTGACCATGGTGAGATTTGAACTCAGGTTTCATGGTCAGAAAGTGAATGTTCTAAGCACTTGGCCACATGCCCATATATATATATATATAATGCCTTAATATTTTCTTTGTATATATAAACTTCTATTCTATCAGATCATGGACACACTTTTTCTTGATTTTCAATGAATTTACATTACACATATTCTAGCCCTATTCTTTCAGTAACACTGCATTAATTCCTGACCACTGATAATCCTTTTTTTTTTATTTTCACTGATCCAGGAGTCAAAGAGTGTTTATTTTATTTAGTATGGGCCAAAGCTAAATCTACCTGGGGGAAGCTGCCACATGATGCAGCTCACTTGTAAAAATGGCCAGTCTTTCAGTCAGCATCCAGGAGTCAAAGAGAATGATTATTTTATTCAGTATGAGCCAAAGCTAAGTTCCCCCACCCCCCAAGGGAGCTGCCACATGATGCGGCTCACAAGCCCATAGCAGTTTTCATTTGGGAATATATCTTCCCCAGATACAGAAACTATCTCCAGTTTACAGTCCCTCATGCTGGGAAAAACCCATGAATCAGCATTTCCCCGTCTGAAGAATATGTCTTCACTAGTGACATTGAAGATAAATCTGACCAGTGCAGATCTCTGTTGGGGGATCCTAAATATGGCAAATGCAGACTGTGCAGATGATTTAGTAATTAGTAATTAATATTAATCACTTTAAAGAAGCAGGCATCCTTCTTCATAACCTAGAGAAAGTGACCAGTGTGACCAACCTGTATATAAATGCTTGTAAAACTAAGTATATGGTCTATAACCAGACTATGGATAATGTCCTACATTCTTTAAGTGAGGAACAAATTAATTCTGCCAGGGATCTTAGATACACCATTATATTTCAAGTCCTAAAAACGATCTGTCTGTCAGAATAAGTAAAGCCTGGGATGCCCTTAACAAACGCGACATGATATGAAAGCAGGACCACTTCTCTTGGAGGATTAAAGTTGACCTGTTCCATGCCACTGATGAATCCATTCTTCTCTTTCAGGATAGAAAAGGCGATGGTCTCCGTTTGATTGAAATGAAGTCACATGGGTCACACGATGACCGCTTAGTGAAATCACTTCATTGACTTGTGAAAGTGGCCAGTCTGTCAGTCAGCATCCAAGAGTCAAAGGGAGTGTTTATTTTATTCAGTACGGGCCAAAGCTAAATCTGCACCCCCCCAAGGGAGCTGTCACATGATGCAGGCATCTTTCTTCATAACCTAAAGAAAGTGACCAGTGTGATCAGCCCCTACATCAATGATTCTAAGTATATAGCCTATAACCAGAATATAGATGATATCCTACATTCCTTTAGTGAGGAATAAATTAAATCCACCAAGGATCTTAAATACCTAGGTTATATTCTTTCTCTATATGCCATGACCCTTCAAAGACATTGGCCATCATGGCTCTCCACAATTTTATCTCCTGTGTAGCTCTTAATAAATTTTATCTTTTTGTTACTTCTCCCAAACCTTGTTCTCCCATCCATTTACAGTTGTATTAATGTAAGAAATGGCAAGATATTTGGAAAGATATACAGCTACTTCCAGATTTGAAGAGATTTAATTAGCAAATAAAATGTCAGAGTTCAGGTGGAGAGGTTAAGAGTGTAGAGTTGAAGTAGACTTTAGAAGGAACTGGAAACCCAACCCTAAACAGGGAACAAGGGATAACCCTCTAATCCTGTTCAGAAGACCAAAGAGGAGATGTTAGAAGTATAGAGTTGAAGTAGAATTTAGAAGAAAGCGGAAAGCGAATCCTAAACAGGGAACAAGGGATAAACCTTGTCAAAAGACAGGGGAGGAGACGTTAGAAGTATAGAGTTGAAGTAGAATTAAGAAGGAAGCGGAAACCCAATCCTAAGCTGTCTACAAGGGATAAACCTCTACTCCTGTTCAAAAGACAATGGAGGAGATGTTAGAAGTACAGAGTTGAAGTAGACTTTAGAACGAACAGGAAACCCAATCCTAAACAGGGAACAAGGGATAAACCTCTACTCCTGTTCAAAAGACAAGGGAGGAGACGTTAGAAGTATAGAGTTGAAATAGGCTTTAGAACGAACAGGAAACCCAATCCTAAATAGGGAACAATGCATAAACCTCTATTCCTGTTCAAAAGACAGGGGAGATAGATAGCCTATAACCAAAATATAGATGATATCCTACAGTCCTTAATTGAGGATTAAATTAAATCCATATATTCTAACCCTATTCTTTCAGTAACACTGCATTAATTCCTTTTGATTTTCACTGAATTTCTGCAATAAATTTATAGTTTACTTTATATATATATTCTAACCTTATTCTATTAGTAATATCAGTCCTCCAGTATGGCAGGACAATCTCTTCATAGATGAAGAATAGATTTGAAGCTACAGAAGTGTGTTTCTTATGACATTATTGTCTTGCTTGAAGCATAATGATTAAAAAAAAAAAATCCAACAATCTAAAAACAAAATATTGTCTGCCTTATTGATAACAGTCAGTTCTTCATCTTGTGTATCTATATTTTAAAAGTATCATATATTCTTTCAGGTTGCTGGAATTGTGGGAAGGGCTGAAATACTTGCTGCACTTCTTTTCCTGTTGTCTTTCATTTTCTATGCTCGGTAAGTTATTCATCAATATTTCTTCAAATTCCCAGTTTTATTGATAACTAGCTTTAAAGCTTCACTCCATGTGGTCTTTGGAACTAGGTTCTGTGTAAGGCTAATTAGACCTCCAGCTTAAAACTAAAGGGACCTCCGCTCCAGCTTAGAAAGCAGCAACAATAATTTTGAAGAAATAACTTTGAATTCTTCAATTCATTCCATGAAAATTCAAAACCTCACTTTAACTCTGATTTAGGCTATAAGCCCAGTTCCAGCTGAAACTCTGATTTAGGCTATAGGCTCAGTTCCAGCTTTAGGCCAAAATTCTAATTAAGGCCCAAAATTGAGTTCTTCAAATCACAAACTCCATGAAACTTCAATTAAGTTGAATTCTTTGAATCATAAACTCCGCAGAAATTCAAAACCTCACATCAACTCTGATTCCTTGGCATTTTGAAGAAATAAAATTCATTTCTTCAATTCACAAAGTTTTTGTGTTACTTTAAACTCAATACAAATTAAAAACTTTTAAAATTACTAATTTTTTCAGTTATTTTAAAATTTTAATTTTTAACTGTTCTCTCCTAATCTGGTCACAAATCCCAATGCTGAATGTTCAACCATCAGATTAAGGGCAGAATTTGAATCCTGGGATCATCCTGATACCAAAATGGTATAATATATCTGTGTAGAGCAAGTGTTGCCCAAGTTAGTAGGGTTTCAGACACATGGACGGACAGACAGAATTTTTCATTTATTTATTTATAGAAGTCAATCAAGTGCCTTTTGGCCTTTTGAGTAAGGTACAGGTGTGGTACTGATGGAAATATTTAGGTAGGCCAGAAACATCTTGGCTTCTGGTATGTGATCTGGTATATTTAAGTAAGGTGGGTTGATTTTATGACGTCATCGGGTTTTTAAGTTTGAATTTTGTTGGGTTTTTTTGTTGAATTTTGTATAGGGCACAAAGTGAGTATCAAACTCAGTACTTAGTAGTAATGATGCACACGTCTCGTCTCCTTAACCATAACCACCTACTGATTGTATGTTCGTTGATTTTAAAATATGTCAAATATGTTGGGTTATTCAATGCCAAATTTTGTAGATGGCACCTGGTGACGATCAAACTCACAACTCAGTATTAATGGTCAACCAGACTAACATAACCCATGACCAAGCTGCTTATTTAGTTAGGTTAATTGATTTTATCATATGTCAACTCTTGCAGGATTATTTATTGTTGAATTTTGTAGGTTGCACCTGGTGAGGATCAAACTCACTACTCAGTAGTAATGGTCAACTAGACTGACTTTACTAGCCCTAACACATGGCCAAGATGCTTAGTTAGTTATGTTGGTTGATTTTTATAAAATGTCAAACCTTAAAAAAACAAATAAAGCAAAAAGACCATATTGTTATGTGAAATATGTAAGTTAACAGAAAATCATCTGTCAGGAAACAAGGGAATAACCCTTTACTCCTGTTCAAAAGACCAGGTAGGAGATGTTAGAAGTAGAGAGTTGAAGTCGACTTTAGAAGGAACTGGAAATCCAATCCTAAACAAGGGATAAACCTCAACTCCTGTTCAAAAGACTAGAGAGGAGTGTGAACCGGACGATAGGCAACCCGATCTACTCCTATTACACCTCTTACTATTTTTGTATACTTACTGAATTCATTGAAAACTCTAAAATGATATATACATCATAATAAGCAAAGCCTAGAGTGCCCTGAACAAACTTGACATGATATAGAAATCAGACCATTCCCAGAGGATTAAAGTTGGCATCCTCCATTCTGCTGTTGAATCCATTCTTGTCTATGTCTCAATGGCTTGGACTCTGACATCATCAATGGTGAAAACGCTATATGGTGCTTACATAATAATGTTCGGGACTGACTTTATCATCTTGTGGCAACAACACCTGTGAAAGTAGGACAAAATCTTTCCTATCTCTGAAACCATATAGAAGCATAGATTAAGATTTGTAGGACACTGATGGCGCCATCAAAGAAGAGTATGCTGCTGATGCACTGCTGTGGCAACCAACTCAAGGTAAATATTGTAGAGGTCAACCTACAAAATTCTTTATCACATAACTACAAGAGGATACAAAGTGCAACATTGAAGAACTGCGGATCATCATCAGCAACAGAGAGGGTGGAAGGTCTGTTTCTATGAATGCCAAGCAAGCTTGATGTAGTAGTAGTGACCTTTGTTAGCCAGATTTGTTATAAGCACTAAAATTCTTAAATATAGCTTATAAACATTGAAAAACAAAGCTGCAGCCTTGAGTAAAGAATATGTGCATTCTCTTAAAGAGATTAGGATAAATTGTGGCATAAATTAGCCTGGTTTAGTTCTGCGATAACCTTAATATTTTGTATAAATTACCTCCCCTACCAGAGCATACTCTCATGTCTGGACCAGACAGGGCTGGTCAACTATTTGATTTTTTTTTTCAAACTACGTGCTGTTATTCCACGCCCCCTTCTATTTATTTTATTTTTTTCCTATTTTCCTACAGATATGAGTGGAGGGTCCATATCTTTGAATACAAGCAAACTTTATGTAGTAGTCATAGTTGTAGTGACTTGTGTCAGCCATTTTTGGTAATAGAAAGGGGTCACATAAGATAAAAACTAAAATTCTTAAATATAGCTTAAAAACAATGATACAACCTGGAGAAGAAAATATGTGCATTCCATTTAAGAGATGAGAAAAAAATGTTAGAATAAATTAACCTGGTTTAGTTTTGCTATAACTTTTTTATATGAATTATCTCCTCTTTCATTGTAAACTATCAGATCTGAAATAGACAGGCCTTGCCAGCTATTTAAATTTTGATTTTTTGTTCAGCTGACTCCCAGTTATTCCAAGCCCCTCACTATTTATTTTATTTTCTACATTTTCTCAACCTGTCCAATTTATTCTAACCCCTTTTTTTTGTTCTGAAAGCAAATTAATTTTGAATTAATTTTCTAACCAACCTGTTTCAGACTTAAGAGCTAATCCACCATTTTGAATGTAAACAGAACTTACCTTTCTGTCGCCGACATTCAGATAATTGAATACATCCTTTGTTTTTCCATTTTTATTTCTGGTTTCTTTTTTTTTTTTTTTCTCTCTCTTTTCCATTTTATACTGTTCTCTCTTTGCTTCCTTTATATCCTGTAACATAAAAAAAAACAATTATAAAAACTTTTAGCAATATAATTCTCATACTGAAATAAAAAGAATTATATATACTTATATATTATATATAAGTCTGTCATTTTTATTTCCAACCCCTCAGTTTATGTGTGTTTGATAGAGTTGTTTTGTTTTGTTTTTTTTGTAATAGATAGGCCTGGCCAATTATTTAAATTTTTTTTCCAACTTACCCACTTTTCTTTTGTAAAATTAATTAACATCCAGCGAAAATCTGTAGTTTATCTACCCAGACAAAATATTTATATAACCTTGTCTGGAGACAGACTGATAAAACAGTCAGTTATAGTAAAAAACTAAAGAATAGATGAATCAGATTATCCCAGAAGTAATGTCCAAATTTAAAGTAAAAAAAAATATATTTATCAAAATATTTTTCATCATTCTTCAGAAATTTGTTCAAAAATAGTCGCACGTGTTGATCAACAGACAGATTTTTTTCTCTTTCTTTATTAAATCGTGGGGAATTCATTATCTCAGGTTAATTGCTATCTTAGTCAAATTTTCAAATTGTTACAAAAGGAGTTATAACCAATTTTTTTTTTAACTAGTTTGTCTTTCATCTTATTTTTGTAGAATTTTAACAACTCCCAGACTGTCATTCTATTAGTAAGCAAATAACCCTCCCGTGAGACTTAAACACGTGTCCCTTATCCTTTGGGGCCAATCTTTCATGTCTACAGACACAGATGTATAAAAATGGGCCTTGATCATTTAAACATTCCATCACCAAGTCAACTGAATTCTTACCAGTTCTTAAAACTTCTTCACATGTTTCATCTATGGTATTCTCTTCTGTAGAATCACGTCTGTTGTGGCAAGTCTCTTCTTCATCTGTGAGATTGTCCAATATTCACTACCATATAGGAGAACTGATATTACAGAACAGTTTAATACTCTTTTCTTTGTTTCTAATGAAATTTTCCTGTTTCTTAATACTTTTCTTAGCTTCTGGATGGCATCATTTTCTGTTCTAATGTGCTTTTGGAGTGTTACACTTTTTGTTCTTTGTTAAAAAAAACTCCCAGATATTTAAATTGTTGTACTTGCTTGATTTTGTTATCTCCAATTTGTAATTTGCATGTCAGGCTGATTTTTTTTTTTTTTTTGCTGACAACCATACATTCTATATTCTTGCAATTTAGTTTTAATCCGAGATTTACTTTAAATGCACTCCCACTGAGTCAGTTTGTGACACAAGGTCAGTTTTTAATATGGTGACCCAAGTGTTTCCACTTGGGCTGCTGGTCTAAGCTGGTCAGAGCTTGTCTAAGCTAGTCATAGCCAGTCATACCACTACTACATAACAGATGTCACACAATGGAGGGGGGCACAAGGGAGGAGAGAAGGCCTCTGGCATGGAACAGATACTACAAATGCAGCATCTACTCCAACAGCAAAAATCCCCTTTACCCTCTCTGCTAAACCCTCCAGAAGAATTTGGAAGGAGCGACCCTAATTTATGTTTAATTTTTTCCCTCACTACCTTCTGGAGGAATTCTTGTAGTTTCCTTTGTATGTCTGCTATCAACAATGTGTTGTCCGCATATCTTATATTGTTAAGAATATGACCACTTCATCTATTAGGAGATTGTCCAGCATTCACAGTCATATAGGAAGGCTAATATTACATAGCAGTTCAACACTCTTTTTATTGTTTCTAACAGAATTTTCCTGTTTCTTAATGCTTTGCTTAGATTTTGAAAGACATTTTTTACTATCCCATAGTGCCTTTAGATTTCTGCATCTCATTATTGTGACTATAACAAGCATCCTGGTCCAAATAATAAGGCATATAGTTTGTTTTTTTTTTCTTTTTCTGCAGGAATGTTCAGGCTGAATATGAAAATCCTGAATGCCATACATTGCAAATCTGTATTTCTTTTATACTGGGGGCTTCAAGTATGTTGTGCAAAGAGACTGGAATCACTGTATTAGGCATCTGTGCTGTCTATGAATGTGCCATATTTTATCAAAGGTAAGATAATTTATTGTTTGACAGTTACATTTTGGCAAACATGAACCTTCATGTCCACAAAAAAGAAGAAAAAAAAATGCTGTTTCAATAGGACAGTTTTTCCATTGACACTGCTATGATTTTATCTATACTCACTTGATGGTGCTTAACTTCAGTGATAATATGCTTGGGAAAGGCATGAGCCCATGGTGAGAATGCAGAATAATATTCCCCTAACTCCATCTTAAAAGGTTTTTAAAAGAAAAAGACACATACAGAACTCCTCATCAATGGGACTATGTTTGTGAATATTTATTCAAAAATGTATTTCAAGATGTATTTGCAGTCACTGTTAAAATAATCAATGAAATTTACACATTTTAATTTTTTATTTTTTATGTGTGCACTTGAGTGGGAAGATGGGGGGATACTGCCTTTTCATTTTGTTTTCTTTCATCATCCATAAACGAAAATATGCCAATTGTAATTTCTCAAATGGAACATGACATGATAGCTGTCCCAGTACAATTTTTTAAAAAAGTGATCTTTTTTTTGAATGAATTTAATTAAAACTAAACACTCCTAATGCCACTTAATGACAAGAACAGAATCAATTTTTGGTCAGCCTAATAGCAATTTCCAAATCAGGCTCTGGACAAATGAGTGGGAGAAAATTCAAATAAAAGCATGAGATTTTGGTGACTAGAATTTTTTTTGCTGATTACTTTCATCGCTGCTACTGCTGAAGTGAGCAAAGTAAGGTGGCATCCACATAGTATAATATCCAACAAGTGATATAGTTATTAGAATGTATAATCACTTGAAATGTTATCCATAAACTGCACAAGTCTTATTTAATACTTGGATTACATTTTTACTTTACTTAAGAAGAAAAAAAGCATAAAACATTGTTTATTTTTGACAAGAATGCAGAAAAATGGTCTCTGTGCCTATATACAAAATGAAAATTGATGAATTTAAGGAACTAATAAAAGATGATGAAAACCAAAATAGATAATAATTTAGTTTTTGAATGTAGTGCCTGTTTGAATAAAAAGAAATAATAAAAATTTCACTGACTGGTTCATTTAGTGCTGTTCTGTGAATTCTTGCAGAAAAAAGATAAAAATATTGAAAACTCCTGATTTTGCCTAAAAAAAAGAATTTTTTTAAAAGAAAAATGGCACATAGAGAACTTCTCATCAATGGAAATATATTTGCAAATATTTATTCCAAAAAGAAATTCAAAACATGTTTGCTGCCACGATTAAAATAATCAATGAAATTTACCTATTTTAATCTTTTATTTTGTATGCATGCACTTGAGCAGGTTGGAGGGGGTGATTCTGCCTTTTTATTTTATATTCTTTCATCATTCATAAGCAAAATCATTCATACTCAAAAATATGCCAATTCTAATTTTTTAAATAAAATCCAACATGAGAGCTGTGTTCACAGCAATCATGGTTTTGTTTGTTTTACAGTGAATCAACCTCAATGGGTTATTTAATGCTTATAATTTTTATTGCTGGTAATATTTTTTTTTCAAAAAAAAGTATTGCTGGTAATATTTTTTTCCTTCAAAGATCTATTTCTGGTAATATTTTTTCTAAAAATTGTATAGTTGGTAATATTTTTTTTTTTTGAAGTATTACTAGTAATAATTTTTTCCTTCAAAAAATTATGGCTGATAATTTTTTTATAAAAGTATTTCTGGTATTAAAACCGGTTTTTATACTTTCATAGTATTTTGACCCAAGTTTGGGTGTTAACTGTTTGCTCATAGCTGCGACCCCAACAGGTGCTACCACCCTGGGTCAGGGTAAATGTGGGGACACCAGCAATTAAAAGGTGGTTCTACACTCCTCAAAATCTCCTGATCAGAGGCCTTGTTGTCGGACATAGTTTATTGTCTTACCCAGGACGCAAATGTCGTTTATCATCATACCCAGGACAAATCATGTTATGTCTATCAATTTAAGTCAGTGTTTCCCAATGGGGATACTAGTGCCTCTTTGTGGTATAATAACATGTTTTTACCAGAGCTCATATTGCAATTTTTGTTATTATCGCTTTTCTCTGGCACTCCTTATTACTACTTACAATATTGTATTTATTTCTATGCTTGGTTGGCTCAGGAGATTTTTGTGGCCTAGCATATGTGCTGATTCCTTAAGTTTACGAATTTTCCAATGGTGTTCTTGGTCTATGATCTCAACCTGATCCCACAGAGGGTGGTTGAAATATGTTGAAAGGGGACATTGGGAGTTTTTATTTTATTTGGAGGGACATTTTTTTTTTTTTCAAATTTTCAAAAATTATTTAATATTGCCTACAAAAGGAAACTTCTGAAAGGTATCTAAAGCTATCAGACTTTTCTTCATTACTTTTCCAAATTCCAATATGGCTGAATGTGGTTTCAACACTGTTACACAGCTTTTTACTAAACAAAGAAACTACCTGCACATTACAAAATAAGATCTCTAATTACTTCTAAGCAGTATGGAACCTAGAGTAAGTGTGTGTCCTGGGTAAGACAATAAACTACACCCCTGTCCTGGGTAAGATGATAAACTACATCCACATCCTGGGTAAGACGATAAACTACATCCCACAGCAAAGCCTCTGATCAGGAGGTTTTGAAGAGCGTGAAATGACTCTGGTGTTCCCAGGTCCACCCTGATCCAGGGTGGTAGCACCTGCTAGGTTCCCAGCAATGGGTAAATAGCTAACCCCCAAACTGGGGTCAAAACACTATGAAAGTGAAAAAATAGAAAAAATACCAGAATACTTTGTAAAAAATTATTACCAGCAATACAATTTTGAAAAATAATTATTACCAACTATGCATTTTAGAAAAAAAAAAATACCAGCAATAAAAAAATTTGTCGGCATTAAATAACCCATTGAGGTTGATATGCTGTAAAACAAAACAAACCAAACCAAACCTAGAGTAAGCACCTTAGCCATTAAGCATCAAAGTCAACCATCACATTGGAAACTTTGAGAGAAACTATCAAATAAAAGTTGTTGTATTTTAGCATTTTAATCATTGGCATTTATAATAGAAATGAAAACAATATTGAAATTATTTTTGCACTCATACCTAAGTGTTATCTTGCTATGAAAGATGAACACCAGAGAGCTGTAAAACAAACGGAAGTAGAAAAATCATGCGTGGCTGACCACATATGGAGAGAAAAGGGAGATCACCACCCTCTGTGGGATCAGGTTGAGATCATAGACCAAGAACACCATTGGAAAATTCGTAAACTTAAGGAATCAGCATGTATGCTAGGCCACAAAAATCTCCTGAGCCAACCAAGCATAGAAATAAATACAATATTGTAAGCAGTAATAAGGAGTGCCAGAGAAAAGCGATAATAACAACAAAAATTGCAATCTGAGCTCTGGTAAAAACATGTTATTATACCAGCAAAAATTGCAATATGAGTACTAGTAAAAAAATGGTTGCTGAAGACATTAGGTTTATAATTATAATACCCAGAAATTCATACACAGATGTCCTCAAGGACACATTGGATAAAGGCGTTGGTTAGACCCAGTGACAGGACCCAAAGAGTGTGAGTTCAATACCCAGTTAAGGCAATGGAGAACTTGGACAGGGAAATTAACAGGAGTTAACAGGACTGAGGTTGGATATGGGCATTATTATATGAAGAGAGGGAGAAAATTAGCCAGGGTAACTTGGGTTGTAGGAAGGAGTTATATTCACTTACATCAGTATTTCCCAACCATTTCTCAACCAGTGCCCTATAAACGTATGGCATGTGGAACAGTCTACCCCAGTGAGTGAAATAAAGGGTTCAGTTCGATATTCCAACCCCCTGAAGAAGGCCGGAGCATACAACGACCGAAACGTTGTAATAAATATGGCGACAAAGATGAGGACAATAGTCTGAATAATGTAAATAGTGAATTCAGTATAATATTAGAAATTTAATTTGAGTGGGGGAGCATTGATAAAAAAAGAGGACACTGTTTGACAAAAACAAATTAATGATTTAAATTCTTCAGAGTCCTGCTTTTAACTCTAATTGTTGTAACCTAGGGAAGGTTACTGAATAGAATAATCAAACAAAGGTAATGAATGAAAATCAAATAGAGCATTTGTAAGGACAAGAACAATACATATAAGATTCACTAGCAGCGTGTAGAAGAAGTAGTCAACTGCAAGAAGTGAGTGAAGTGAATTCCACAATGAATCTCCAACTGCAGACCAACATACAGTATTTACTACTGTATTTATGTGAATGGGGATATACCTATTATTGTTCATAGGTATGCTACAATACTAATATAAATAGGAAGAGGTGGAAATTTTAATTTCTCGAAATTTTATAAAATTAAGTAAATGGGGGTAACATATGTAAAAATATTATTATCTATATTTTCTAAGACAAAAAATTTCCAAAATAATTTAATTCATTTGTGAATAAGTTCCTAAAACTTAATTAAAATCTCAAATTTATTTGATTTTTGCAAAAATTTCCAAAAGAATGTGTTTTCAAAGCCAAAAAAGACACTAAAAATCCCTTTACTAATCTTTGGCCCACCTGTTGATGCAAGAAAAACCAAATTTTTAACTAAAATTTCAAACATGCTAGGAAGGATTAAAAAAATTAAATGAAATAATAAAAAATACTTTGATCTTTCCTCTTAATAGTAAAATAAACATTTTGGTGATAAAATTTCATTTTTATCAAGTTTGTGGCCTTTTTTCATCATGGCATGCTTTTTTTTTAGAAAATCTTAAGAGGCATCACTTTAACTTCATTGTATTTCTCTGGTGGGAAAAATTAATTTTCAGCAGTTCTATTTAGACATTTTTATTGTTTTTGAGAACAAAAAAAAAAGGGAACAAATTCTATTTATTTATTTTTGTTTTTTTCCTTCAATCTTTTAATACAAAGAGCCAAAATTCTCATCCATTCCTTGATTTTGTGTTTCTGGCAGATATTCTCAACTGGAAAGGAATAAAATTTCCGCTTTTGTGAGACGAATCTTCAAATTATTCATTACAGTAAGTCTCCTTTAAAAATCTCTCTTAATTCAAAAGATGTTGAGCTGTATTGAAATATCTACATTTATGGTCTACTTATAAGACATTTTAAAATATCTGTGCATCCATGTTTAGTTTAAAACTTGTTATATTTATGGGAGAAAACTCTCCATATCAAAGAGAGCATTTGTAAATATGGACAGTGTGGACATAGATATCAATATTGTATAAATTGATTCCTATGTCCACACAGAGTGTGTGTATGTGTGTATATATATATATATATATATATATATATATATATATAAATATAGGTAACTATACTCATTTCAAAAACCTTCGAATTTTGATTTGCCAATAATCAAATCAATCTCGAGGGAAAAAAGGTTTTAAAAAAAAAAAGAGCTAGAAACATGAAAGTCTGTCGAAAAAAATTGCTGAATACAGGTTTGAAGCCCAAAGAAAAAGCCCAGATACGAGTAAACAACTAACAAACAAAAGAACTCAATACAACCGTAGAGCAGACCTAGATAAACCTATATATATATATATATATATATATATATATATATATATATAGCTGGACACTTGTATTCAAGGATAACCCGATACTAGGGCGGTTATCCAATCCTATTACAGATGCTTGCTCAGGCACATTTGCATTTGTTCAACACCCACAGAGCCCACCTGTGGTTTATATTGCAACTATGCTGAGCAGACCTTAGTTACAGTTTCTGGGAAAGAGCATGTTATCTAGTATGATCAACAATTTGAACAAGTCCAGCACATTCAAGCCTTTAGTCATGATGATTTGTGACTTTGTGTTAGCACAGCAATCGATGGCACCCAAGGGTTCCATCTACCCATTTTCACTCACAAGGCTTGGGTCAACCCGTGGTGCCACATGCTCGGATTGACCCCTCCACCCCAATAACATTAGGAAGTCTACTTCCTGAGAAACTGACCATGATGAAACTCAAACCCGGGACTCATGGCCAGAATGTAAAAGTTCTAAGCACTCAGCCATGTGCATATATATATGATAAAATTAGGGTTTGAAGGTATGCTATATTTATGGGTTAAAGTGCTCAATATCAAAGATAGAGCATATGTTAATGTAAAAGTGGACACTGAGGACAACACCAAGTGACAACGGTCTGTGTCATGCTTCAACTCAATCTTTAAGCCAGGTTCATTGTGTTTTGGCTCAACTATTTATATATGATGGTCAATAATGCATTATGGGTATTAAGGTCTATTGAATTCTCCTAATGGTTATTGGCTGGATGGTAATGACTATGTTTCAGATTATTACAGAGTAGAAATAATTGTGGATTTGAATACAGTATTAGTAGCTATTTTAGAGTGTAGTTTGTTAACTTTTTACTCATTATTTAATTTAGATTACTTAATTATTTGTTGTGATGTCAGCAAACACTCATTGCCACTTTTGTGATGTCAATGAATACTCAACGTCACTTTTGTAATGTTTGTTGTATTAGAGACTTTGTAATCACAGATATAACTGTAGTACGCTGTTGAACAATGCTGGTGTCAGACATCTTTGACTATCACTCACATTAATAGCACTTGCTTAATAATACTTACTTGAATAGTAACCACCATATAGTGATCTGAATAGAAGAATAGTATAGTGACTATTCACTATACTATAGTAGAGAATAGCAGTCAGTATAGTAATAGAGAATAGACTAGAATACAATGATCCGAATAGTAATAGAGGATAGAATAGAAATGTAGATCCATTAGATGTCATGCAACTTTCTATATATGCGTTTCCTCTATGGTCACATGATCCACTTAATTCAATAATGGGATTGCGTGTTTGATCACTGGCAATCTATGTTCAAACTCAGGCATCAGCAGCAAAACTTTTATTCCTATATAACATTATTATACTTACTTGCATTTGTGTGCATTCATAGTTTGTTAATTTGTTTATTTATTTAGACATTTTTGTTTATGTTTTGGGGGAGAGTATTTTATTTATTTAGTTTAAAGTATTGGTTTTGTCTAAAGTATGTTATCTGCATTTACAGTAAAATACCACCATGAAAAATATATGCGACGATTCTTCATTCTGTCGGATTTATATCCATTTATATTTGCTTATCATACTGTCCACTGGAAATACAAACCTGAATTCATTTTATTACATGGAGGACTGCATGCTTATCCAAAGATACAAGAATCTAATAGTCTCCGCGTATTCCTACAACGAACTGCTTTCCATCGGAATCAAATTTTATAAAATTTTAAGAATACATTTTGAAAGCGTCGCCCATTTGACGACAACGTGACCACGCTCAAACGGAAAGCTGATCATTTAAAATTTTCTTTCATCTGTTTTGGATAAGATTTGTTTTTTATGTCCATCGTTTTCGTCGAGTTATACTGATTATGTTAATTGTATTGTATTTTTAATGAATATTATCCTGAGGAAGGTTACTAAACCGAAACGTCAGACGTCGACATTTCATTCATAAAACAACATAATCACATTCTAAGGATTTTTGTTTGTTTTTCCAGATATTTTCTTCACATGTACACACAAAATATTTGGATGTATGTAAACTGTATATGCATCATATATATTAACATGCATTAACATTCTCACTCAGTAGGAAAACAATTTACTGTTAAAAACTCATTCTCGAATTGCCCCCTTATTCTGTTTTTATAGTACGCCGAAGGGTGCACATCCTACACATGCCCCATCAAAATATTACCATGCCCCACTGGTGGGTCATGCACCCCATGTTGGGAATCATTGGATTAGGTACTTTGAATCTTTTTTATGGAAAATGATAATCTACATTATTTATCAGAATCAATAACTTTCATATACCAGCAAATTATATTTTTTAATTGCCTTTGAATCTTGTTTATAATTAGAGTGCATCTGGTTATGTCAAAATAATTTATTTTTGTTTATATAAAAGATGATTGCTTATGTTATTTTTTTTCTAAATTTCTTTAAAGCCAACTTTATTTCTTCATCAAGAATATGGTTTGGGAAATTATTGTTGATAAGTATTTGTTTTCATGTTGCTTTATTCTTTATAAAATAAAGTCTGAATAGAAATTTGTTTTTGCACAGTTAATCATGTTTTTTTATAAACAGCTATATATCCAAATGACAGTTGGCAAATGAATGGTGATTAATTCTATGTGGGAGTTATTAAAGTCAACCATATCTGCTGATTCTTTAATTTCCTTATTTTCCAATGTTTTTCACTGTTATTCCAACTGCCCTGTGGTGTATGGTTTTTATTCAGAAAGTTTTTGTTTTTTTTAATTCTAGATTATTGGTTTACTGATATTCCGTATGTGGATAATGGTTAATACATTACCAGTATTCAAAGAAGAAGATAATCCAACTGCCTTTGCTCCAAGATTCATTACCAGGTATCAGAGTTTCTATTGTCCAGAGAATGGTACCTTTTCTTGTTGTTATTACACCCCATGTTTTGACTGATTCGGTTTACCAGTACAAAAATAGTCAACAGGAAAGCATGAAGCTAGAAGAGAGTTCTACAAGTGAGAAGATTGAGAAAAGAAACTGTTAGCATAGAACTTAGTTATACCTAGCCACTAAAAGCTGTAAAATGATGAGACCTATATGCCAATCTAGTACTGTGTTTAAATTCATAAAGTCAAGGTACAAAAGAGAATAATTAACACAAAAAATATTTACAGAAAAAAAGGCACAGAAAAAGCTACATTACAGTGGTGGGAAAGTGACTGAAGCTGAGATGCCAGGTCAGGAGCAATAACATTACAGATTTGTCTTTGGATTTTATCAAGAATCTCTAAATACATAGCAGAAGCACCAGACCAGATGTGGCAACAATATTTAATGCATGGATGAAGTGTAGACTTATGTGTAAGATAAATTTTGGTGAGAAAAATTGTCTAACAACACAGTGAACCAACTTTCCAGCAACGACAGACCTAGCAATTGATTCACTATAATCTTTCTTCTTCATGTCAATGAAAAACGTTAACCTGAGAAGATTTTCCATTTATACCAAGAGACAAAGTTAAATTGGCCGTTGGTCTAAAAATTACCTCTAATCTGTGGTTGACTGGAGCAGGAAATACTTGTGAATTTTAATACATCCAAAACAAAACTGCTGTCATTTACTCACCATAAAGAGATTTTCATGCCTCCTATCAGCATGATTGATGCTCAATTCCACAGGAGCACTTCACTGCTACTTCTTGCTCTCACATTTTCCACTAACCTGGGGTGGAACAACTACAATGAATCAATAGCTGCATCTACTGCAAGGAAAGTTGGTTGTGTCACACCAGAGGTTTTTTCTTGCCCGAGTCAGTCTTACTCATCTACAAATCTACCATTCATCCATATATTGAATACTGTTGCCATATCTGATCTGGTGCCCCTACTGTTCATCTTGAGCTTCTTGACATAATCTAAAGATGGATCTGCAATCTAATTGATTCTGACTTGGCATCTCAACTCCAGTCACTTTCTCACAGACATAATGTGGCTTCCCTCTGTCTTTTCTATAAACATTTTCATGGCATTTGCTCTGACAAGCTATTTTCACTGGTGCCCTGACTGAATGAATTTAAACATGCTACTAGGTTGGAGGAGGTATGGTGGAGTAATGGATAATGGCTTGGATTGAGGAATCAGAAAGCCAAGTTCAAATTCCACTTGAATCCATTACATTCACTTACGTGCTAATACCCTTGGGAAAGGTATGAATCCTTCTCTTCTCCCTCTAGCTATGAGCAAATAGCAGGACAGACTGGGTTCTATAGCCTTGGATGGCAACTGGTCTACCACAGAAAGAAATGGCAACCTACTGCGGGAAAAAAATCTGCCTTGTCAGTCATGTATTGAAAGATAAATGATCGCCTATGCGAATATGACACATGGCATATAACTAACTAACTAGGTTGGCATCTCAGTTCCACCCTTCTACTGTCAAATCAGCTAAATTTAACCGCCTCTTCTACTTCAAAAGCTTCTTCTCTTGCACTTCCCGAGAGTGGAACTTCTGTCCTTTTACTTTTATAAAAGTAACTGATAACTGACAGCCATTAGACATGGTATGTGAAACTAGAACAGTCTACCCCAGTGAGTGAAATAAAGAGTTCAGTCAACATTCCAACCACCTGAAGAAGGCTGGAGCATACAACAACCGAAACATTGTGATAAATATGGTGACAAAGATGGTATTTATCAATCCACCCACGGGGATCGAATGTGGCACAAGGCCTTTTTAATGTGGGTATCTCCGAGCCCGTAGGCCCAGCCAAAAATAAATAACCATCCAAACCGCCCGGGCCAGTTCGATCAACCTCCCCGAGCGAAACCCCACCCTTCGGCGGAGCTTTCGTCCGGGTTCCTCTCTGCAAGCAGAGAGTTCGACGAACACCGACCCGGCAACTCACAAAGCGCAGATACTACACTTTGATCCTAGCCACCGGGCCGAGCAGGTATTCTTTTTATAGATATTTATATGGTGACAAAGATGAGGACGATAGTACCTCATCTCGGAATTCTCAATGACTGCATGAAAGATCAGGTCCATAGTAAAATGAATCCTTTGGTACCTGTCTATATTTCTATCTGCCTCTTACTCTAGTCACTCTGACTACTGACTGTCTTCTACAACCCCTCCCTCTGACTGTCTCAGCACCACAATGAAATGCTTCTTTCTCTGCTCACTCTGTAACTCTCCATTTCCACCACTGGGTTGTCAACCACCAACAGATGGCTCATAACTGACCATGATCAGAATTCCTTACCTTCCAGCTGAGTGGCACTTGATCCTAAAAGTTTTCTTCTATTCATTTATTTAATCTTTTTCTTTTTTCCCTACAGTGAGTGGTTGCTTTGGAGATCTCTCATCTATACTTTACTGTCAGTTGTTGTTAATCAAGTCCCAAATAAAAGCATTTACTATACACTTGATTTTTGTGTGCATCCTGATCACAGCTGAGCACCTATTGTGGCACAAAATTACCTCAAATAATTTTGATTAGTCAAGAATTTTTAAGGATATCCTTTTGTTATTGCAGATTTCTAACCTACAGTCATCTGTGTGCCTGGAATGGCTACCTTTTGCTATTGCCAATCGCTCTCTGTTATGACTGGCAATCCAGCAGCATCCAGCTCATTAATACCTGCTCTGATCCTCGCAATACATTTACAGTGGCCTTTTTCCTCATCCTCATCCTTATCACTATAAAGAGTCTGCAAAATAAATCCGTAAGTATATTGTAATGATTAACTATTGGAAACTGTATGATGGTCTTGTCACTGGCATGCCATGATGGCCAACAGAGAAGAAAGCTGAATCTGGTCAAAGAATCATTACTTTAAAGGTCTGCAAAATAAAACTGTAAGTATATTGTAATGATTGACTATTGAAAGCTGATTGGAGATCTTGTCACTGGCATACCATGATGGCTGGTGAGGAAGAGATTTTAGTCTATTCAAACCTTTATAGTGAAGTTTTGTTGATGGAACTGTTTGTCAATGGTTGTGCTATGCATATAGTCAGAAGTCATTGTGACTGAGGCTTTGAGTGTACTGGTTTTGTTCAAACTGTTAACCATGCCAGATGATGCACTCTAAGAAATGGTAACTAAGAATTGCTCACTATAGTTGCAGTATAAACCACAGATGGGCTCTGTGAATGTTGCACAAACACAAATATGTCTGAGCAGGTGTCTTCAACAGGGATGGTTAGTTTCCCTATACTTGGAAACAAGCAGCCATCCATTATTAATAAAAAATAATTTAAAATTTGATTCAAAAAGTGTTCATAATTTAAAATGTCATTAGCAAAATGACAAAGTTAAAAATTGTCATAAATAATAATAATTTAAGATGATAAATGAAATTGATTTAATTAGCGTATATAATAATCCTATTCTGTCAACAATATTTGCAGAAAGTAATTGGTCATGGTTAAGTGTAATTGTCAAAAATGCCCAACAAATGGAATTGTCAAAGTTCTCAATAAACAATAAGAAATGGAAGAAAAAGAACAGTTCAAAATAATATTAAGCAAACAATATATATGCAAGTCAAAAGTAGGCAAGGCCACAATGATAAGGCAAAAAGGTCACAAAGTAATAATGGTGTTAACACACAAAAGGGATACAGACAAGTGATCACAGAAATCTGACTGCAAAACAAGAAAGAACAACAATATGGCAAATGAGACCAAAAAGTGTTCTATCATATTGTCTCGGAAGAAATCCCAGCTTACATCTGAATGTTTTGTCTATAACTTTGGAGAGTGGATGTTTTTCATGGTCATTATCAGTACATTGAAACTAACAACATTAATTCCTAACCATGGACAATCTCTTTTTTTTTTTGGACTCATTTTCCTCCTTTTTCAATGCAAAAAATACAAACAGTAGTAAAACTTACTCAAATTTTGGGGTTAGCAAATTTTGTTTTTAGTGCTCATATTACCATGGTGAATTTTCATTCATAATCAAGGGAACAACTGTCATCTTCTTTTACCAAAATGGAGAAGGGAGGAGACTATGTTAAAAACTAGATTTAGAATCCTGAAACTTTTGTGTTCATTTTGGGATGTTTTCTGAGCCTCTACTATTAAATCAGTTGCAATTAAAGAGCTGACATTATTTTTGACCAACCTCTGTACTATGTTGAAAATAGATTGAAAAATTAAATCAGTTGCAGTTAAAGAACTGAATTTACTTTTTGAGCAAGCCTTGTACCACAATTGAAAAAGAAGGAGACTATGTTGAGAAATAGATTTGGAATCCTGGGACTTTTGTATCTATTTTGCTCCCCTTTGTGTTCTTCTACTATTAAATATGTTATAATAAAAGAACCAACATCACTTTTTGACAAACCCTTGATATTTGTTATTTATCATACCATTTTTATGTTATTTTTTTTAATATTCATTCTTATATCATTTCTATAATAAAATAAAAAAATGATACTTTTATAATGAAGATAATTTGTATGAACTTTTCTCTTGGATTTTCCAGGACTACACGGTTCTCATGAGTTTAGCTTTTGTTATTATCCCTTTCCTGCCTGCATCAAATCTCTTCTTTCCTGTTGGGTTTGTAATTGCTGAAAGAGTGCTCTATATACCAAGGTAATTACTCAGATTTTTACTTTGTTTTCTTGTTCACTTAACCATTTGAAAGATTTTTTTTTTTATCTGTTCCTGACAATTTTTGTCTGAATTCCTGAGATACATACTATACTATTATACACAGATTCTTTCAGATTTTTTTTTTTTTTAATTTTCTTGTGTTTTTTTTAAATCTTTCCACTACTCTACTTTTGAGCCAAAACAATTATGGCTGGACAGTAAACATGGTTGAATGAAAACAAAAGAACATAATCAAATTGAATGATATTATGGAGTGATTTTCACAGTGGAGACTTGTATTTGTACTAAGTCAGTCCTAAAATAGGTTCAACGTACAACACGTTAGGAATTTGATATAATAGGTATAACGCAGAGAAATCTAATTGTGGTGGCTGATACTTTAATATCCGACTAACGGTTGTCCAGCATCGACTGACTGACCAACTCACTGAGCGACTTCTACTACTCCTACTTATTATAGGTGGGAGAGTCTATTAACTATAGAATAGGTGTGTTCCACTATAACAGATATAAGTACAAACAATATCTGAAAAGTCAAATATAGATAAATATAAAAAACAATTGAAATGATGCAAGTTGTAAAGGCAAAGCAACAGGGGAGTATCGGACACTTCTTGAAACAGCCAAAACAGGCTTAATACTGAGAGCATGAATATGTAACATCACAACCAATATGGCTGCCCCTATAAAACAAGGGTCAAATATAAAAATGCAAGATGCAATAAAAATTTTGCAAGTCGGGGGTGAAATTCCAGCAATAATTCACTGTGCTGGAAATATTCATCATGATCAGTCCCCCAAAGATTCAAATTAAAGCAATTGGCAAAAAAATTAACTGTTTTTTCAGACGCTATTTTTTCCTTTGATACATATTATGGGTCAGAAAATTTTTTTTTTTGTCAAAGTCCATCTTGTACATTTACAAATCTATCATTTGCTCATGCATTGAATACTGCTGCCATATTTTATCTGGTACTCTTGCTATTCATCTTGAGGTTCTTGACAAAATCCAACAGTTTCTTTTCTCGCACTTCTCGCCTGTGGAACTTGCTTCAGTTTACTTGCTTCCCTGATATCTATAATCTATAAATTTAAATGCAACATCAATCGCCAACTCTTATCTTCTTGAATCTTGTTCATCTTTTGTCATTTCTTCAATCCTCTCTATACTCAGTTTTTTCTCTCACTTTCACTCTCTGAAAAGCCCTGCACACTAGTGGCATTTCTGCCTTGCTTGGGGTTAAAACGATTTTTTTAAAAATCTATAATTCAACAAAATAATTGAAGATATCGAAAGTGAATGACATGCTACGCATTATAACTACAAAAATAAGTGAATGATAATAAATAACAAACCAAACTACACATCTGATAATGTCTTCTTTCTTGTCTTGATGCGGCATTCACCCTGGGCGGATTGAGCCGGCTTCTTCCTGTTGACGCACCGCATCACAGACCATTGCTGCCCACGCCCGTCGGTCTGTCGCGAGGTCGCACAAGATGGTAAGCCAGTCGCGGTTCCAGCGGCAGAGGCCGACCACATGCAGGCCGGAAAGTAACGCCAGATCCTCCTGATCGTTGAGGCCCACGTTCAGCTTCTGCCCATCCGCAGGTGGACGGCGGTGTGGGAAGGAGAACGTCCCGTATCAGCTCCCCTCGGCGCGCGCGGCCAAGCATGTCCGAACCATCGCAGACGCCGTTGAAGAAGGACTGCGGCCAGAGGGCGAGGGCGAGGTGGCGGCTCAGTGGTAGGGATCCGGTCGACGCGGCGCGGGCAGTGCAGGAGGCGACAGAGGCAGTCGTTGTCAAACGCCTCCAGTTTGCGCTGGTCAAACACCCTGAGCGGCCAGGTTTCACACCCATATAGAAGGATAGAGCGAATGATCGCCTGGAAGATCTGCCCTTTCGTGGTGGCCGAGATCTCTCTCCGGTTTCACAGGCAGCGCTAGAGATGGGCAAGCCAGATCTCGCCACGCCTATCGACGTTCCACCTCAAACACTCCTTGTCCGGATGCAACCACAGCCGATCCCAGGTAGACAAACGACCACTTCCAGGTTGACACCGTCCAGCGAGATGGGGCGCTGGGCTTCTGGTGGGACTAGGGAGAAAAGCACCTTGGTCTTCGAAGGAAGACCATCTGATAATGTGATATGGGAAGGAGGCACTTCAATGACTATTACCCACTCCAATATTTTTTTCCCAAAAAGGCATGATAATTCACAGATAATAAAGAAAGACCTGTGGTTAGTTATAACTGCCTGCATTCTCAAAGAGACATTGTATTGAAAATACATAAATGAAAACAATGGTAGAATAAACTGGCCCAAATGTTATATTTTCAAAGAGACATTGTATTGAAAATATATGAAAACAATGGTAGAATAAACTGGCCCAAATGTTATATTTTCAAAGAGACATTGTATTGAAAATATATAAATGAAAACAATGGTAGAATAAACTGGCCCAAATGTTATATTTTCAAAGAGACATTGTATTGAAAATACATAAATGAAAACAATGGTAGAATAAACTGGCAGCAAATGTTATATTTTCAAAGAGACATTGTATTGAAAATATATAAATGAAAACAATGGTAGAATAAACTGGCCCAAATGTTATATTAGCAGAAAATTTAAAGGCAGTTATGTTTATTGGTTTTCTTTTTCTCTTTTACAGCATTGGTTATTGCATTCTTGTGGTACATGGTTTAAATCTTTTAGAAAAAAGATTCCAGCAGTATTCAAAGCAGATCTGGGTTGTCTTTCTATTCATTTGCTTTGTCCTTTCTTTGAAAACTTGGAAACAGAACCAAACTTGGCATTCCAGAGAATCCTTATTCTTGTAAGTATAGTCTATCTCAAGGAATCTTTGACCTTTTGTCAATATTCTTCATTTTTATATATAAAATTCAGATCTCAAGTGAAACACACATATACTATGCATCACTCAGGATGCTGGAAAAAACAAAGGGTTGGCTTCTTGTACTGATACAATAAGTATCTGGTTGATTTATCTTTAGAAAAACTAAATCAGACCAAAAATGAAGTACCATTGGCATACCTGGGCTGGAGCTGCCAAGTCCTCACTTTTCAGTCGTGACAGTTGAAAAACATTCAGGTGGGGCTTTGTGGGTATAGGAATTATTTTCAATCCTGCAGCCATTTTCTCACAGACAAAGGATTGCTAACCTCTTAATATTCTTTCACTATTTCCATGGCAAATGTTCAGATAATCTACATTCCTTACTTCCATCAGTTCAGACCTTCACAGCTAGGACTCAGCATGTCATGTCTGAATGAATCCTAATTCATTAGTAAGAAGAAAGTTCCATTAAGGCAGTTACTTTGCACAACAAACTCCCAAGATGATGCTTCCCTGATCACTATAATCTTAACCTTTTCAAGTCTAAGTTCAACTGTTATTTATTCTACATATCCTCATAATCTGCACTTACTTTCTCATAATTCCCCATAATGTTGACTTCAGTGTCCATTTTATATTTACATAAACTCTATCTCTGATATTGATCTGTTATGATTCATGATGATATTTCATCATTTTAGAAATAAAGATCTGAAATTTCATCATTCCAAAAACAACCTTTCCTCCAGTGATGATTCATAATGATGATGATGTTTCATCATTCTAGAAATAAAGATCTGAAATTTCATTTCAAAAACATTGTTTCCTCCATTATTCATAATGATGATGATGTTTCATCATTCTAGAAATAAAGATCTATAATTTCATCATTGTATTAATAACCTTTCCATCCCAAGTAAAAGAACAACTCAGACATATCTTCACTCCATGAAAATCCAGTGTTGATGATTACAAAATCTTTCCTTAACCATGAAATTCACAGAACAATTATAAACAAGTAAACCCAAACATTTAAAAGAGACAAAAAGGGACAATAATTGAAAACATTTAACACACACAAAATCAATATTGTAATAAACATTACAAAAAGAAAAATACACAATGTCATTAATTTTAATACATGTCTCAAAGCCTTATTGTTTATGTCATTGTCATATGTTTTATTAATTTCATTTTCAATATAAAAAAAAAGAAAAGGAATCCTCTATCAACTACTGATACATTTAATTTACATTAACACAACTCAACATCAACCCTGTTATAGATCACATTTAAATATAGTTCGTCGTTATTTATTTGGAAGGTCATGCAGGATTTGTTTGTTTCCAGTTCAGACCTTTTTATAAGGAAGAAACTTCTTTTCAATTAATTATTGTTTTTGTTTTCATCTATAGATCAGGTTTAAGAGCACAACCCCAAAATGCCAAAGTTCATTACAACTTTGCAAATCTGATGAAGGACAAAGGTGAAACAGATGCTGCAATCTACCATTACCGAAAAGTCCTACGGTAAGCAAAATAAAGATAAGCCTATAGTAACTAATTACAATCACTAATTTGAATTCATCTTTTATGTGGCATGTCCCTTCAAGGTTTGAGTGATCATGGCTCTCCACAACTTCTTATCCTTGTAGCTCTAAATCAAATTTGACTCTCTACCATTCCATGAGGTACGCTTCTCAATTTCCCTTTGTTCTGCTTCCCTCCAGTGTATCCTGTGAGTGTTGAAATGGTCTAGTCCATTGTCTTGCTTGTCACTGTCTTAACACTTTTTGCTTAAGACAATAGAATTCATTCCTGAATTGTTCTTTATTTTGATTGGTTCACAGAAATAATACATTTGACAATCCCTTTTTCTTCATCTACATTTAGGAATGATAATTTTTTGGCCTCTTTTATTTAATTCTTATCTTTTTGTTTTTATTCCTTTATGGCAAATCAAAATGGCTTGCCAACATTTAGCTATCCTGTTATTTTTGAAATGGCAATCTTTTTATTTTTTCTATCACTACAATCATACGAGAACTAGTGATCACGTTGTGAAGATAAACACTCAGTTGTGGAACAAGCTGAGTGAATAGTGATTTTCCAAGCGTAGCTTAGATGTGGCACAAGGCCGAAAGTATGGGGCACCAGGTGAGGGTCGAACTCACTACTCAGTCGTAATAGTTTTAGCGAGACAAACTTGCTAACCATTACACCACCTTGAGATGTTCACAAGCTGAGTAAATAGTTATTTTCTAAGCTTAGCTTAGATGTGGCACAAGGCCAAAAGTATGGGACACCTAGTGAGGATCGAACTCACTTTTCAGTCGTAACTGATCTAGCGAGACAAGCTTGCTAACCATTACACTACGACGAGGTGCCCCGGCTGAGTGAACAGACACTCCACCTTGAGAAAGAGAGCTATTTATGGTGCCATGGAGCATCTCATTGTGCTCAAGTGGGATAGTCCATTGCTTGGGTTGTGATTGGCTGCTGGTACATGAATGGAGGTATTTCTGTATAATTACCAGCTTGATTCCAGTCAGTTTTCAGGGTTTGTATCAAGTTACAACCTGCTTTATTTTTGTCTGTCAGCTGGATGCTAGCTCGGACCCTTACGCCATTAAATGTTGTTTATTCTATTGTTATTCTACAGTGATTAAACAGGACATTGCCCATAAGCCCCAAACTTCTAGAAAATATTTTTTTCTTCATTATAATTGCTTAAAACATAGACCTTGGACAAAAATGTCTGATTCCTGTTAAATTTGTTTTTTCAGCTCATGGCCTAAGCACGCCAGCTCGCATAATAACCTTGGCATCCTGCTCACTGATAAAAAGAAAGCTCGGTATCATTACGAGAAAGCCTTAGAAATATCACCACAACATATAAGTGCCCTCATCAACTTAGGAGCATTGCTAAAGTAAGTAATTAGACAATACCACAATCTTGTATGAAGAACTGAATCCAGAAAATGATACCTTTTTTTTTGTCTAATTCAGAAAGCATTAAAACCATATTTATGTTTGTGGTTGTTCCAACATTAACAGAAATAAAGGCTGTTCCAATAACTTGGACCGATTTTAAATGTGAATTAAGTTTAAGCATCTAATGATTTTTTTCTTTTTCTTTCAAATTTAACAGCTTAAGTATATGGCAATTTTGACAATGGAAAGATTAACAATCAAAAAATGTGTTAAAGTTATCGAAGTCAATTACAAAAATGGATGTTCAAACAGAAATGCATTTTGTTCACTTAGTGATTTTTTTGGTCAACATAATCGACCAACCGAGAGTGCAACAGGTTCAATTCCTGCACACGATGATGAATAGAGGTGTCTGGATTTTCGGTCACATTCTCATGCACTGCAGCAATGTTTTCAGCTGAACGATATAAACAAGCACGCAATGGTGTTTTCTAGTTTTCACATCTGCAACTGACTCAGTTTGTTTGAATTAATGAACAATTTTTCCAATTGCACTCTTGAAACTTTAACATGTTGTTTGATTGTTAATCTTTTCATGGTTGAAACTGCCAAAGACTTCAGTTATTAAATCTGAAAGAAAAAGAAAAAAAATCATTAGACGCTTAAACTTAATTCACATTTAAAATTGGTCCAATTTATTGGAACATCATTTACAATTGGTAGAAAAAGAGGAAAGGAATTAGAATAACAAACAGGTTTATTATTGCTTTCAAAGTGTGTCAAAAATAATCTGTCTTTGACTGGAGTCTTCTGACAATTCAACTGATGTCCATGAGAAATTTCACACAAAGTTCAGGCAGTGCGAATAAGAGTTGTAAGTTGACAAATCCAGACATAAGCACTTGAAAGATAAAAGTGTTTGTATTGGGGTAATGAAAGGAGAAAGTTCTACTCAGATTTTTACCAAGAGCTGCTACTTTGTGGAACAGACTCTCATGTGGATGCACCCTTGAACATTAGAATCTTAACTTCTTCAAATCAAGGGTCATTCATTATCTATGACTCTTACCTTCATAAACTTCACATCATGTTATCTCATTGATCATCACCATCAAAGAAATATATATATATATATATATATATATATATATATATATATATATATATATATGTGTGTGTGTGTGTGTGTGTGTGTGTGTGTGTGTATGTGTGTTTTGTATATGTGGATTGTTATATAACTATTAACTGTTGTTGAATGCTATTTAACATTCAAAGTGTTCATTTAAAACCAGACAAAGAAGATAATTCAAATTTGCTGCTCTTGATGAAAATTACAAAGAAAGAATTAAAACTATACCCCACAAAATTTAACACAACCAAAGAAATAAAAGGCAATATATTAGCAACCTGGTTTCATTACTCAGTAATAATATATTCTGTTGTTTTAGTAACACAAGGTATGTTAACTTTTGTGTAGCCTCAAGTTAACGTTAATCATTACAGAGACCAGGTAGCATGTCTCGTGAATATATAAATACTAGTTTATCTATACCATAAAAAATAATGGAATTAGTAATTCTTAACTTACATTTTTTGAATAAGTAATTTCGGATTTTTACTCCATTGTTGTATGCAAGAAAGAATTTTGCTTTTCAAAATCATTAAAAGTCAGAATACCCAAAGAAATCTAACACAGAAGAAAAAAAATACAATGGATTAGCAGTCTGAACTCCCCTACTTATTGCATTACACTACCTTTTGCATTGAACACTGTCATATCTAACCATTTTTTTTCATCACCTGTTACATATTTAAGGTTATATAGGACAATGCATTCATCATTAAAAATGGTTGCCAAAAAACTTATGACCCAACCTAATAAAATCAAGTTTTCAATCAGTAAATAAATGCATGGGGGTACCATGTCTCTAACTAGGGGGTAGATGTATAAATGCACCTGTCTCATGCTGCAGAACTGATGCATGGGAGCATTTGGACTCATACAAGATTATATATGCATGGGTGCACTGCATCGTGCTATGAGATAGATGCATGGGTATATCATACCACACAGAAGACATGGATATACCGCATCTCCCATCAGGGAACAGATGCACAATTGCAATGAATCTTGTCATATACAGTACCTATGAATACTAATGGGTATGTCCCAATCGTCATAAATATGTTGGACACTGTTGAAAGTGGGGGTAATATGCTAAGTTGTCCACCACTTACAGTGGTTTACCTACTTGACGTCGCTGGCGAGTATTGTATTTTGTTGACGTTATAAAGATTACCATTTTCAACTTCTGTTTTGATTATTCCTCATTCAGTAACCCTTTCTAAGTTACAACACATCTGATGCCAAAGAACAGATGCATGGATGCACCTGTTCCATGCTCCACAGCAAAATGCATAGTTTCATCATGTCTTGTACTACAGAACAATGCATGGGGCACGCTATGTCTCATATGCAATAAATTCATGGATGCATCTGTCTGATATGACATGACAGATGCATGAAAGGCACCACATATATCACTACAGTATAGCCATGCATATGTACTGTGATACATACTAGAAATACTAGATGCATATATGTGCTGCATCTCCCACCAGGGAATAAATCCACTGCATCCCATGCAAGGTAACAGATGTGCAGGTCATGCCACACAACAATGCATGGGTTTATAATTTCTTAACTACAGAAGAGATACATGGATGCACCTGTATCATGCAAGGGAAGGGTGCTCAACTCGGGGGGGCATTTCCCTCAGGGTGGAATTGCTGGGTTTTGGGGAGTACTGAAAAATCTTACTTTTTCTTCTTTTTTTTTTTTTTATTTACAGAATTTGGAGCTGATCATGACTTTAAAAAAAAAAAAAAAAAAAAAAAAAATGATATGATGAATCCTATAATCAATATGGATTCACATCCATCATCATCAATAGAAAAGAATGACCTCGGTGGGTTTTTTTTTTTTACAGAATGCAAAGGCCAGGGGCAGAATGGTTAGTGATTGGCCAGAGTGCTTTGCTGACATGGCATTCTGACAGTGATGGATTGCCTTTGTATGAGTTTTGGATATAAGTCCAAAAATAGTGTGAATTTAAGAGAAGGACACACAAATTCTGAACTGTTGATATGCCTCCCACACCTGGCTAAGACCACTTGTGGGGGGGGGGACACTGAGCCAAAGTGCAACATGCATTCCTGTGATGTCATTTCTCCCTCTACCTCTTGGAATCCAAGCTGCCACCAATCTCTCCTAATAAGACAAATAAGAAAACATCCTTTTTGTTAATTTTATGTTGTAGTGTGGGGACCTGGAGACAACACAAAATCCACCAGATTCTAAAGCTTTGTTAAATGATTTTTTGAAACAAACAAGCAACATTTGGAGAATGTTCATCTTCAGCATCCGTGTAAATGCATATGTACCACTATGGAAACGAATGAAGATGTTCAATAATATATGAATATTATTCAAAATGCACCTTTTGAGTCAGAAAATCTTTTAAAGTCAGGGAATTACATTCTGACATATAGTGAAAAAAGTGTATTGTGCAAAAAGGTTGAGGACCACAACGCTAAAGAAAAAAGACATGAGCCCTCAATACATCATGCTATAAAATATGCATTTTATTAAGATCATTTTGTTTTGTTTTTGGTTTTTTCAGTGAAGAGGGTAATGTTGAAGAAGCAATTCTGTTGATAAAAAAAGCTGTCCACTTGAGTGCTCCAAATGCACCACTATTTCTAACCCTAGGAAATCTGCTTGCACAGAATCGTCAAATGGATGAAGCGCAAAAATTCTTCGAGGCAGCCATAAGCATGAGACCAAATTATGCCGATGCATACAATTATTATGGTTCGTTCTTCCAACAAAAAGGTAAGTCATACATCATTTTGTTTCAGCATTTGGTCAGCTGAGTTCAGGGCTGGTGCATCTTACACCTGAAACCACCGACTCTGCATTTTTTGGGCCCTGTTGTAGCCTCTGCCAATTTTTTCAGCACAGTTTTATGGTCATCCGCCATTTTTTATTATTTTTAAACTGATATTATAAGGTCAGTCATCAACTTATAATATACATTGTGTACCTGCATGTCCAGTGTGGTATGTACTACACAGAAACCCCCAACCTCCCATAAGGTTGAAGCCTCAAAAGACCTAGTTAAAACAGCATTGTTTTGCTTTTCATACTTTTTGCTTCTTTTCTACATAAGTTATATATTCAATCATTAACTATAACAATCAAACAGGGATGATTTGCTTACTACCCCAAACTGCTCAACCTCTCTTTGCCTACTGGGGGGGGGAGAAGTGCTAATTTCAGTTGTGCTTATTTTTTTAAAATTATAATTTGCTTTCTAAACAGTTCTTTTAAATCAATTAAGAGGGTAATATCTCTCGGTAAAATCATTTTTTATTCCAAGATCATCTATGAAGAAGGATCTCTGATTTTTTTTTTTTTTTTTTAGTAATCAGAAGTCCACAGCTTGTAATTAAAATAAAATTTTTAGTCCCTATTTTTTTAAATTTCTAGAAAGATAAAACCAAGAAAATGATCACTTAAAAAATAAAAATGTTTAAATATTAAAAAATTTTTTCCTGAAAACCGAAATACAGTTTTTTTAATACAACTTTTAAGACAATCCGTTTGTGTTGTGTTGGAATCTTTGTAAAATATTTTTTTTTTCAGCAGATGCCTCAGTGATTAATTTTTATGGAAATGTAAAAATTTGCGACTTAAACATTTTTTCAAGTAAAATTTAGTCATGAAAATGTTGGCAGTTATTACAAAAAGAATAACATTTTCTCAAGTTTTTTAAAATAAAAAACCTATTCATTATAAAAGTAAATAATTAACAAATATGTACTGAAATTTTCATTTAAATTGAATAATTCCCTGATGTTTGGTAATTTTTTAAAAGTACTCCCCCAATTTTCCTTCGAGGGTTTGTTGCCCCCAGGTTGGGAAACTTTGAAACTGACATGTAGTAGAGAGGGGGTTGCCTGTATCAAAGTTTCAAGAGGTGGGGCAAGACCTAAGCGCCGACCCTGGCTGAATTTCATCTATGTCATCAAGTTTATGAATAGAAATTTTTATATATTTATATCTAAATAAATGTTTTTTTTTTTTGTTTTATTAAGCTGACAAATTCTTATTACTTTAAACCTTATTTTTAGCGGATACCCATATTTGAGTAGACACTCCATTTATTTATTTATTTTTTTTTTTAAAGTATTTTATTTTGTCTATGAGGCTATATTCCCAAGAAGTTGCTCATCTAGGAACTGACCAGGCTTGACATAGCTTAACTTTCGGTGATTGTACAAGAAGCCTGGTTAAAAAGCATTAAAAAAAAATTGTCATTTGGTTAAGATTTTAGTAAATGACTTGAACTGAAAACTTCTCAGTACTCTCTTGTACATCTATCTAAATCTCTAAGTGAATAATTAAAATCACGAATGACCTACCCGAGTCAGCTCAGGATTTCTACATTACATGTTGATATTTCTGAGAGGAAGTACTGTAATTATTTATCTGATTTACATTGTTCATACTGTTGTCCACATCTTTCTTATAATATTCATGATGTTTCGGTCATTGTACACTACAGCCTTCTTCAGGATCTTTCTATATTTCTGAGAGGAAGTATTGTAACTATTTACCTGATTTACATTTTTGGATTGTTGTCTTCATCTTTATTGCCATATTCACAATGTTTCAGGTGATATACATTGGAATTTCGAACCAAAATATTTAGTTCACAGGTAGATTGTTCCAAGGACACATGACCCAGTGGATAAAAGCATCGTTTGAGTAATCCAAAAAGTGACTTGAACCAAATAGTTGTGAGTTCAATTCCTGGCCACAGCAGAAGGAACAAAAACTTGGAGAGTCAAGTTACTAAAGGGAATTAACTGATACTGAGATAGCTAAAAAAAAAAGGCATGGCAAGTGGAACTAGAACAATCTACCCCTGTGGACTAAATAAAAGGTTTGGTTTGAAATTCCAACATATCTCACCTGAAGGTCGTTGGGGTGTACAAAAGACAAAACGTCATGAATATAACAATAAAGATAAGGACATCAGTCGAAATAATGTAAATAGTGGAAATAAGTCTTTCTACATTAGTATATTCAGACTTGTGTCATCCTCTTGATTTTTAGACAGTTCATGGCCAATAATCTATGTAGTCTTCTTCAGGTATCTATCATTATGGATCTTCTTCTGGCCTAGCAAAGAACTCATTTAAGAGTCTTTAATGAAGAAAAACTATCAGGTCTAAGATTCTACTTACATTACAGGCAGAAGGTAATTGAAATGACAAAATGGAAATAACTCCTACAATTCCATCCTTTGAAAGGAAAGTTCTTAAGACTAATACTGGTTTTTATTGATGACATTGTGTGTGTATATGTGTGTGTGTGTGTGTGTATATATATATATAATGGAATGGACAAAGTCCGACAATTATTTAAGACATTTTTATGTTTAACATTCTTTTTATAGATACAAGTATTTTAGTAAATGCTCTGTTTATAATAAACAGTATTAAATAACATTTACCGGCCTAAATGTCCGAGAAATTTTCATAAAAATGTCTTTATATATATATATATATATATATATATATATATAACAGGGAAGGAAATACAACTCCAATTGTAATTTTATATTGAGAAACACTGAACATATATGGATGTTTAACTTTAATTATTGGTTCCAAATGTATGTAAATACACAACCGAGCCAACCTCATTCAGCTCAATCATATCTCCAAAATATATATATATATCTGAGGCTGGTATTAAATATTGGCATTGTTACATGATAAATGCCTACTGAAAATCTTTTTCTTCCTGATCTTCAATGGATTTCTATAATAAAATCATAAGCAATGCATTTGCATTATACACGAAATAGTCCGAGGAAGGAAACTACCATCAATACTGGAAAGAGTCTTAACAGTAACATGTTTTTCTAAATAAATGATCTAAGAAAAAAAGACTTTATAAATTTCAACTAAAAGCAGTACTGGCTGCTCAGTCAATGAATGCCAAAATGTTTCCTTTCAAGGGAAACAACTAATATTACCATTACCACATTCTATCATTAATATTTGTGATAATTACTATCAAGTGACTTCCTTTTTCCTGGTTTTAAGTCAGTCAGTTATGTGCCATGCATGATACATACTTAGGTGATCATGTATCTTTCAATACATGACTGACTAGGCAGATTTTTTTTCCTGCAGTAGGTTGCCATTTCTTTCTGTGGTAGACCAGTTGCTATTCAAGGCTATAGAACATGGTCTGTCCTGCTATTTACCCATAGCTGAGTGTGGGGAGAAGAGGATTCATACTTTTCCCAAAATAGTTGGCTGATAAAGCTAGTTTGCTAACCATTAGACCATGATTAGTTACTTCTCTTATTTACTAATCTGTGTTTAGTGCTAGCACAAGGCTACAATTCTGGAGCATCCATTGAGGACCGAATTAACTATTTCTATAGTAATTGATTGACATGACTAGCTTGCCATACGGTCACGAGTATTGAGTACATCGTGAGGAGTAAATTCATTATTCTGTAGTCAGTCAGTTCCATGCCATGCGTGATACATGCTTAGGCGATCTTGTATCTTTTGATACATGACTGACGAGGCAGATTTTTTCCCACAGTAGGCTGCCATTTCTTTCTGCAGTAGACCAGTTACCATCCAAAGCTATAGAACCTGGTCTGTCCTGTTATTTACCTATAGCTGGGGGGGGGGTAGGACAAGGATTCATACCTTTCCCAAGGGTATTAGCACGTAAGTGAATGTAATGGATTTATGCTAATACCCTTAAGTTTTAAGTACTTTTCTATAATAAAACTTTTAGCAATCAATATGCATTATAGTGGATTGTTGAAACCTCTACATTTAGTTTTTCACATGTCGATTAGCTGAAAAATCTTCTTATCACCACTCCGAGGTCCTTCATAACATGGGTGATTATGGTCCTCCACAATTTCCTATCCTTTGTAGTTTCATTGCAAACAATTAAAAAACAAAAAAACAATGAAAGTTGGGTCACTGTGTCATGTTAGAAAAATCTTTTTCAACATGAGTCCATCTTGTACATTTATAAATCAACCATTCGTCATGCACTGAATTCTGCTGCCATATCTGGTCTGGTGATCCTGCTGTACATATTGAGATTCTTGACAAAATCCAAAGAAGGATTTGCAATGTAATCAATCCTGATTTGGCATCTCAACTTCAATCACTTTCTCAACAATGTGACATGGCTTCCCTCTGTCTTTTCTACAAATATTTTCATGGCAACTGTTCTGAGAAGATTTTTTCCCTAATGCCCCGACTACATGAATTTAAGCGTTGCTACGAGACTGGCATCTAGGTCCCACACTTTTACTGTTGAAATAGTTAAATACAACTGCCACTTTTAATCCAACAGATTTCTTTTCTTTTTTTTTTTGCACTTCCTGCCTGTGGAATTCCCTTCCATTTACTTGCTTCGCTGATAATTAAAATTTTTAAAAAATTTAAATGCACCATCAATTGCCATCTTCTATCTTCTTGAATCCCGTTGATTTTTTTTTGTCCTTTCCTCAATTCTCCCTATACTCAGTATTTTCTCTCATTTTCACTTCCTGTAAACCCCTGCATACTAGTGGCATTCCCACCTTACTTGGGGTAAAATGATTAAAAAAAAAGAAAAAAAAAAAAAAATCAAAAAATACAATTACACCTAGCTATTTCAACAGTATAACTCTGAAACCTCAATTCCAATATGTTTAAATTCATGCAGTCAAGGCACCAATGTGTAAAGCTTATCCAAACATTTGACATGAAAATATTTGTAGAAAAAACAGAGGGAAGCCATGTCATAGTGGTTGGAAATTGACTGAAATCAAGATGCCAGGTCAGGATCAATAACATTACAGATTATACTTGCAACAAGGTTAACACTCATTAACGATGTATTAGATATAAGAAGATCTAGAAATTCACCTACCATCTAAAGTGGATGGCATATAAAACGATTCTTTATATTCTGATATTTGCATTTTGAAAATGTAATTCCTCATTTATCTGCAATTTAATTTACCCATGGTCAACCCCAGAAATAAGCATTTCATGAATTTTATTTAATAATGGTGATTCTGGCAATTTGGATATTCTCAAGAAAGTCTTTAAAGTGCTTCCTTTAACTGAAGAAGGAAAGTATTGCGGTTGCTAAGATCTACATTCCCAACAAACCTTTGATTCTCACTGGGTGACCAATAATTTTGGCCTTGTACCACATTTGAGTCCACAACACTACACCAGCCTTCCCAGTCCCTCATTGCTGTCCCCAAGTCCTGCCTACCAATGCCTTCATCCCTTGAGATGACATCAGGAAACGATAGTTTTCTGTCCCTTGCTAGGTTTGACGCATGCTTCCAGAGTAGGAGAAAGGAGACAAACTCGATCTTGGCACAGAGGCAGTGTCTAATACAATCTATGGTACAAACAAAACTTCTAGCCATCACATAAATTATTACTACATTAAATGTATTGACAAAGAAGATCATGTTTAAAAATAAATATTTGCATAAAATATTGTTCTAGTTCCCCATGCCATACCTCTTCCTACATGCCACAGTGGATAAAAACATTCATTAGATCCAGTGACTAGACCGAAAGAGTTGTGAGTTCAATACAAGGCCACAGCAGTGGTGAGCCAAAAACTTTAAGAGTTGAGTTAAAGGGAAATAACTGAGACATCTGGGAGAGGCATGGCACGTGAACTAGAACAACCTACCCCGATAGACGAAATAAAGGGTTTGGTTTGAAACTCCAATCACCTGAAAAAAGCTGGAGCATACAATGACTGAAACATTGTGAATATGGAAATGAAGATGAGGATAACAGAATAATGTAAATAATGCAAGTAATCATAATATCTCATCTCAGAGATATAGATGGATATTGCATAAAATAAATGTTTTTTTTTCACTTTTAGTCAACAGAATTATTTATTCTTTCCCTAGGGGACATCAAGAAGGCACTGGAGTTCTACCACAAAGCAGTGGACCAAGATTCCCAGCATGTTCGAGCAATGACCAACGCAGCCCGCAGCCTTGAACATCTTCATCAATATGATGAGGCTGAAATGATGTTGCTAAGGTAAGAATGAATTACTTACGAACGATGACAATGTAGTTGAATGAATTTTTGTTTCCTGAAGTTATCACATTTAGAGAGTAGATACAATTTAAGTCAAGCAAATTTTTACCTCAACTAAAAACATCTTTACCACATGACAAATGAAGAAAGAAAATGCATTGTCTAATTTTCCTCTCTCTCTCTCTCCTCAATTGGAGAATATAGATTCACCTATCATCCGGTTCACACCCCTCCCTAGTCTTTTGAACAGGAGTAGAGGTTTATCCCTGATCTCCTGAGTAGGATTGGACTTACGTTTCTTTAACTCTATACTTCTAATGTCTCTGCCTGAACTCTAAAATTTTATTTACTATTTTTTTTTTAATCAATGAGTAGATAAGTCTGTCTGTTGCACAGTTCACCTCCCCAGTTTTTTTTTTAACTTTTGAGTAGATGTCATTTCCTGCTTATGATTGGGCTTCCTGTTTCTTCTAAACTCTTTTTCCTTCTCTTTCACTCCCAGTGGCCTCATGTATCTTAGTGGTATTATTGCAACCAACGGGCGCAATATCAAATCTAGTTTGCTACCTCTTTGTCACCAAGGCCTGTTAGTACAGTTGGTATAACATTTGCCTGTCAATGTAGCTGTCCAGGTTTCAATTCTCGGTAAGGGATGATGAGTCCCAAATATAAGACGAAACGGCCGTCCAGTGCATTCTGCATCCTGTTGAGGTTTCTTCTAGACGCGATGAATTCCTTAATTATCTCAAATCCTCCTTAATTTCTATCATTTGTATATCCTTGCTTGAACCAGCTTCTAATGCTCTGGATGAAGCGGCTTGGTGATGGTAGTCGTGTCTCTTGGAGACACAGTCTAATGGTTAAAGGAACTTGGATGAGTTCCACCACAGAATATGTGAACGAGCAGCACAATATCGAGCCTAGTTCGCTATCTCTTCATCACTGAGGCCCGTTAATACAGTTGGTATGACGCTTACCTGTCAATGTAGCTGTTCGGGTTTCAATTCTCGGTAGTGGATGCGCACTGCTGATGAGTCCCAAATATAGAACGAAACGGCCATCCAGTGCTTTCTGCATTCTGTTGAGGTTTCTTCTAGACTCGATGAATTACTATATATATATATATATATATATATATATATATATATATATATATAATTTTCTCCTGTTTGTCTTCTACCGTGTTTTTAAAACATTGTACATTTATAAACACTTATCCTCGAGAGGCTCTCAAGGGAGAGGATTGAAACTGGTTAGCCCTTTTTCTATTATATTCTTTTTACCTTAGCTTCCCCTCTTTATGGTGACTTTATTTTATCATTGTTCCTCATTCGTCCTTGTTTGATATTTATTTATAAGTTTGCCATTGTATATGTGTTACACATATTTTAACATCTGTCTAAATTTCCGAGATGTGGTATTGTAACTATTTACACTATTTACATTGTTCGAACTGTTGTCCTCATCTTTATTGTCATATTCACAATGTTTCAGCCACCATATGCTGTGGCCTTTTTCAGGTGACATATGTTGGAAATTCAAACCAAACCTTTTATTTAGTCCACAAAGGTAGATTGTTCTCATTCCATGTGCCATGCCTTTTTCTGGATAGCTCAATTTCAGTTATCTCGCTTTAGTAACTCAATTCTCCAAGTTTTTGTTCACCTCTGCTGTGGCCTGGTATTGAACTCACAACTCTTTGGGTCTAGTCACTGGATTACTTCCACCAACACTTTTATCCACTGAAATGGGAACAATTTACCCCCAGCATCCCGAGTAAGATGATAAACTACATCCGACAGCAAGGGCTTTGATCAGGTGTTGAGGAGCATTTCCAGGTTCATTCTGACCCAGGGTGATAGCACCTGTCAGGGTCCTAGCTGTGGGTAAATAGTTAACCTTCCAAAAGGGGGCAAACACTATGAAAGTATAAAAATAGGTTTTAATAGCTACCAATACGTTTTTTGAAAGTTTTTTTACCAGCAATACATTTTTGAAAAAAAATATTACCAGCAATACATTTTTGAAAAAACATTACCAACAATATATTTTTGGAAAAAAATATTATCAGCAATACAAATCTTGTCAACATTAAATAACCCATTGAGGTTGATATGCCATAAAACAAACAAACCAATCTACCCAGTGGACTAAATAAATAGTTTGGTTCAAAATTCCAATGTGTATCACATGAAGAAGGCCACAGTATACAATGGTCAAAATGTCATGAATATGGCAATAAAGATGAAGACAACAGTTTGAACAATGTAAATCATGTAAATATTTTAACACATCCGTATTTTTAGGATTAATAAGATTTTGTACCCCTCACAGGCTGCTCAAACTAACAACAGAATTTTTTTTCCTGTTTTTTTTTTTTTAAAGAGCAATTTCTGTCCAGCAGAGTCCAGTAATTTTGGACCAGTTGGGGATGCTCTACCTTAACAGAGGACAGCTGAACAAATCCCTTAATGTCTTTCAACAAATTCTTGCTGAGACTCATTCTGGTTTGAATAACACAGACATAATTCTCCACTACGTAAGTTAATTCTCAATTTTCTATGTTTTTTGAGATTGACACCATTCAAACAAAAATATTAAATGTTGGCGGACATGGACAAACGTGTTCGCAATCAGACAGTGTCAAAAGGATTGTTTTTTCCCCCCCATCACACTGCTTTTTTAAGTACATTCACTCTTCAGCAATGTTGTCTTAAAAAGCAATGATTAGAATTGGAATAAAACCTAGACATATGATGAAAGTGAATTTATACATATTTTTTTGTTCTTGAGAATTTACAACAAAAATATTAAACAATATTTGACTGTTTATAATTACAAGAATGATTTTATATTTAAAACATTCTAAAAACTAATACAATTAAAATTAATGCCATATTTATCATTTACTAATTTGTAAAGAAATTAATGTGAAAATAATTTTTTATTCATAAACTTATAAACATTTAATAAATTATTAAAATGTGTGAACTATAAAGAAATTCTTATGATTTACCATTTTATAAAATTACAAGAATGATTTTATATTTAAAACATCCTAAAAACTAATACAATTAAAATTAATGCAATATTTATCATATACTAATTTATAAAGAAATTAATGTGAATTTAATTTTTTATTCATAAACATTTAATAAATTATTAAAATATGTGAACTAACTATAAACAAATCCTTATTATTTAACATTTTATAAAGTCAGAATCAATTGGCCTTCTTCAATTGTCTGTCTTTCAACACAATAATCTTCTTGCAATTTTGAACCAAATCCTTTATTCAATCTATGGGGATAGAATGTTCTCATTCCACTTTCCAGGCGTAAAAGTTCAGTTCACATGTCATATCAATTAGTGCTCACCAGTCTTATTCATCTTTAAAAACTAAGCTAAAATCGATTGATTTATTTTTTTACAGCTTATCAACTCCTTGTTGGTTATTTAAAGCCAGAACATATTTTTTAGAATGTAAGATTTCTTTTTTGAGATGATAATGGTTTAGTAGTACAAGTCTTACTAATTAACCCATAGCTGGGGAGAGAAGAGGTGGAGTCATACCTTTCCTAAAGGTATTTACATGTAAGTGAATATAACAAACCCAACTCGAATTGGAACTCAGCTCTCAGATTAACAATTCCAAGCCATTATCAAATTACACCAGTCATACACCCAAGTTTACAGTGCCTGGTATTTCCAAACAGTCACCCATCTAAATGCTAACCAGGCTCAGTGTTGCTTAACTTTGGTAATTGTACTGGTGTTTCAATGTGATGTGGATGTCTGTACAAAAATTTAAATATCTGTAAAACGCAAAACCAAAATATGGAGGGGCATAGGAATAGTGAAAGATGCCTTTCAAAAGCTAAGTAAAGTATTAAGAAGCAGGAAAATTGTTAGAAACAAAGAAAAGAGTTCTGAACTGATATGTAATATCAGTCCTCATATATGGCAGTTAATGCTGGACAATCACCTCAAAGATGAAGAGAAAATCAGAGGCAATGAAAATGTGGACCTACAGAAGGATACTGAGAATAATATGTACAGAGTATGTAAATAAAGAAGTTTTAAGGGAAATGAAAACAAAAAGAACACTTATACTCAGAATCAGAAAGAGACAGCATAAATTCTAGGATGTATAATGAAGAATGGGGGCTTAGAGAATTTGATACTCACAGGACATCAAAGGCAAAAGGAACAGGGAAAGGGCACACATCAACTACCTGATAGTAAAATGAGGTATTGGAGGGATAGCAAAGTGACATACATTGCTACAAGCTACAGGGAATAGGAAGTTAGGGAGAGCCATGATTCACAGCTCATAAAAGAAGTAATAATTGTGTTATATGTTTTATTTATTTATTTTTTTTTTTATTCCACTGGACCAGAGGATGTGACTTATTCAAAAGATGAAACAAGAAGCCTATAATTGTTTCTGTTCATCAGTGAAGATCTGAGGCACTGTCTTTGAGAAAACTTGTCTCATTCCTAAAATCCTCTTTTAGAAGCTGCCTTCCTGTCTTCCTATTTATATTGAGTTCTTCTGATGTCATAATATACTTAAATCTTTGATTTGAGTGCACCAACATTTGCACAATATCACCACTTTCATCTGTTGTGTTTTTGACTACCCAGTTCTTGCATCATCAAGCACATGTTTTTGTCCTCCTGTGAACCACCTGTGCCACTCAAAAACCCCTGATTTCTTCATAGAAAGTTCATTATAAGCCTTTCTTAACAGGCTTCATTTTTTCACTAGCACCTTCAGAAATTCCATACAAAAGTTAGTGTTAATCCACTGCTCTTCTTTTCACTCATTTTTTGCCAACAGTATAAGATGAACAAGGATAACTTCCTCTACTGCTTAGCAATGAATGGATTATCTGTTTTGCATATCAAAAAAGCAAAAGTGGACCATATCCAGACATAGTTTGAAATATTTATCTAAATTCTTACATCGACAGCATGAAGCAGTAATTCCAGGGATTAAATTGTCAGACCTTATATTCATGATTATAAATAATTAAATAATTATTACAAATCAAAATAATGTTATTTATTTGGTCAAGCTAGATCAGACATTCATGAGTCTATCCTGCCAACTCCCACAGTTCAGCATCAAGATCAGGTCATTAGAATGGTATTTTGTGTCATAACATAGCTGGTCAATGTAGGTGGTTGCTGGGCAACCAACCTCTCTTGCACCTTGGCTAGGTGTCCAGAGCAGTAGATCACTTGCAGGTTCTTGTTTTGCTTGCCAACAGTGTCCTGCAATTTGCATTCTGCATTGACGTAAGATTGTAGTTTACAAATCAGTTACTTTTGGATATGTTATATGCCAATCTTGCTTAGGTGTGGTTATAGGGCTGTTGCAAAGCTGAAAACCTGACCAGCTTCTTCCAAATCACTTGGTTGTGTGTCAATATCTGACTATGATTGATCTAGCTTTTGTCTATATTTCTGAGATGAGGTATTGTAATTATTTACATTTTTTAGATTTTTGTCCTCAATTTTATTGTCATGTTTATGTTTTGACTGTTGTTTGCTCTTCCCTTCTTCAGGTGATTGAAATTTGGAACTGAACCCTTTATTTCATCCACTGAGGTAGGCTATTCTAGTTCCAAGTGCCATACCTCTTCTGGATGTTTAAGTTATCTGGTCAGTGTAGGTGGTTGCTGGGCAACCAACCTGTCTTGCACCTTGGCTAGGTGCCCAGAGCAATAGATCACTTGTGGGTTCTAGTTTTGCTTGCCAACAGTGTCCTGCAAATTGCATTCACGTAACTAACTCTCCAAGTTTTTGTTCACCATTGCAGTTGCCAGGTATTGAACTCTCAACTCTTCAGGTCAAGTCACTGGATCCAAGTGCTTTTATTCATGGGCCATGTGTTCTTGAGGACATCAATGTATGAACTTTTGGGATCACACGGTAACCTCAACATCTCTGACACAAAAGGAACTGACAAGTCATTGCACCATTCTGCCTTGAATGTCACCATGAACAACAATTGTGCAATGGTTTCAAGTGGTGACCACAGCGTTGCAAAATGTGCTAACTGAATAAAATGATGATGAAGGTTTTGATAGTTGGCTGGGTTCCAACCAGATATATAGATAATGGCATCCACAGATGGCTGTATGATATTCTTTTTATTTATTTGGTTGAGCTAGTTCAGACATTCATGAATTCTACATTCATGGTCCTGCATCAAGATCAGAAGGGTCATTAGAATGATGTTCTGTGTCATAACATAGCTGATCAATTTAGGTAGTTGCTGGGTAACCAACCCATCTTGCTCCATGGCTAGATGTCCAGAGCAGTATATTATTCACAAATTCTTGTTTTGCTCACAAGCAGTGTCCTGCAAAGCGCATTTTACATTCACATAAGATTAAAGGAATATTAGTGATGGGTCCATAGAGCTGTGATTTAGTTGGATGTTGTTTCCAAGATATGTTAAGCATAATTCTTAGCCTCCGAGTGTAGGTTCCGTCAAGTGTAGACTCTAGTGTTTTAGTTAAATGTCCAAGCAGTGGCACTATACATAAACACCACTTCTACAATGGCTTGAAAGAATCTCAGTTTGAGGTTGTCTGATAGATCAGATTTCTAGATTATATACATTTTATTCAAGGATGCTCAGGTTTTAACTATGCAAACTTTCACATTCTTTTCAGTAGAATTTATTTTGCTTCCTAGATATGTAAAAGATTTGACAGACTTCATTGATTCACCTGAGACAGTTTATATTGATCTATGCTGGTTGAAGCCTATGAATTCAGTTTTAGAGGCATCGACAGAATCTAACATTTTCTAGATGATGCAGGAGAGATATAGCATTGGTCATTGTGTCTGCTGCGAGAGCTAGGACATCTGAAGAGTCAATATCAGACAACCTTTTGAAGGATATTGACTTGAGTCTTGGTGATAAGATAAAACGTAGATGATGATGTTTGTCGAGGGAAGTTCCTAATACCTAGTCAAGGGTGATAATGGAGTGCAAAGGTGTCATCCTGAAGAGTTCCTGGTGTGTTGTTTAAAAATTCCTATTTGATAAACTAGCCTCATGATGGCCCCAGAATTAAATATATATGATTATAAATGATTAAATTGTTATTACAAATCAAAATAATGTTAAAATATTAAAAAACAAACAATAAATGTAGTGTGGACATTGCCAGATTCCCACTTGCTGAAATTACACATATATATAAATGGTAATCTTTTTTGTGTAAATGTTTGCATAATGTTGCAGAATACCAGTATTATCTGTCTATATTTCTGAGATGAGGTATTATGTACATTATTTACATTATTCGGGCTATTGTCCTCATCTTTGTCACCATATTTATTACGTTTCAGCTGTTGTATGCTCCAACGTTCTTCAGGTGGTTGGAATGTCGAATTGATCCCTTTATTTTGCTCACTGGAGTAGACTGTTGTAGTTCCACGTGTCATATTTAATGGATGTCAGTTATCAGTTATCTCCTGTTAATTTTCCCTCTGAAAGTTCTCCACTGCCTTTGCTGGGTATTGAACTCACACTCTTTGAGTCCTGTCACGAGATCTAACTAATGCAATGTGCCATGTGTCCTTGAGGACACATGTCACAGATCCAGTGACAGGACCCAAAGAGTGTGAGTTCAATACCCAGCTAAGGCAGTGGAGAACTTTCAGAGGGAAAATTAACAGGAGATAACTGATAACTGACATCCATTAAACATGGCACGTGGAACTAGAACAGTCTACCCCAGTGAGCAAAATAAAGAGTTAAGTTCAACATTCCAACCACCTGAAGAAGGCCGGTGTGTACAACGGCTGAAACGTTGTAATAAATATGGCGATAAAGAAGAGGACAATAGTTTGAATAATGTAAATAATGTGCCTGTATTATGTCGGAAAAAAAAAAAAAAAAACAGATGTTTTTTTTTATTTTCATCTTTAGGCACAAGTATTAGCTGAATCAAAGAAAATGGTCGAGGCTAAAACCGTTCTTTTGCAAGTCATCAAAAGCCAGTCTTCAGCAGCCAAATTCAAAGCCACAGTTCTTTTGTCTAGAATGTATGGAATGCAAAAACTGCACAAAGATGTAAATAATTTATCACTTCATTGCATGTCTTTTATAACATATTTTTTACCAAACCTCATAACTCAAAAACGACTTTAAAAAAAAAAAAGTTGTCATCGGTAAATGGCACTATTTTATGTTTTTAATTTAATACATGCACCTTATTTGTTTTTTATTTTGTCAAATGCAAAGTATAGTATGGTCAGTTGGGCACCATCTGTGAGAAAAAGAGCACCATAACACAATTCACTCTGCTAGAAATTTGGAAATAACATGGTGTACTGCTTGGCATTCGCACTGGAAACTTCAATACAAACATTTCAGAGTGTTTGGGAGTCAATCTGAGGACAGTGCAGAAGATTCATAGAGAGTTGGACGAGTCTATGAAGGGATGAATGAATGGGAATTATGAAGGTACGGTAGCTCAGAAAACTTACTCTGTTTTGATAAGAAAAGAATTCCCAAATTTGTTGAAGAGGCCTCGGACTCAACACAGAGGCTTGAGGAGGTAGTTTTACACTGGGTCAAAAGGGTGGATGCTGGAAGACCCTATGTCTGGCAACAGGATACTACACCATGTCACACAAGCAGGAGAGCCCAGTCATTGCAGTCAGACAATTTCTGTGACCACACCATTCCTTACATCTGGCTACCTAATGTAAACTCCTTGATTATTGTGTGGGGTGCAGTTGAGCGAGAGACCAACAAAACACTCAAACCTACCCATCTGGCACCAACAACCATGCTGCATTCAAAATCACTTAAATCACCTTTCTTTACTATACTAATGCATGAAATGAAATTCAGTAGGTCACTATGACCATGTTTAAATGCTTATATTAAAAATTTGCACAAAAGTTGTTCGTGTGTACTTAATTAAATGGCCAGTAAGTGTATATATCAGACAAAGCCCCTCAGAAAGCTCCACTGTATAAAAAGTATGTTGATTTATTCATTATGACCGAGTCTGACACAAGGCCACAATAATGGAGCAACCAAGAGAATTAAACTCCCAACATGAGCAAATTAGGAGGTGTAAGATCCTCATCTTTAGTATACTTTCCCTTGTAGGAATTACCCTCATTTTGTCTGTCAAGAGGCCTGCTAGGTGGTGTTCTATTCAGGACTATATAAGGAAGGATATAAACCTGTCCTTCTCTTTTTGCTTCAAAATGTGGTAGATACAGGATATATCTTGTCACTTCCAGGGAAATTTCTTTCCCCAGGTGGCTGACTGCTAAACTTCAAACCCAGCTACGTGGTGCATTATAGATACACATACACACACATTTTTGAACAAAAAAGCCTATAAATATTTCTTTTTTTCAGCTGTGTACACACAAGTATATTTCCTCTCTTGTTGAATTAGGTTATTTCTTATATAAAAATATATTTTTATTACTTGAAACATTATTTTTACTGAATACTAATGTTTGAGTGGACACTGTTTATTTCAAAAAGTATTTTATTTCGGCTACTTATTAAAGAAAATGCACCCTTCAGCAGGATTTGAACCTGCATCCCCCTTTGCAGGAGGAAACGTCATTTGATCTGATATGATTTAACCACTCAGTTCCGAAGAGCTTCATAATCAGGCAAAGTTCTGTTTGCCTTTAAAGCACACTTTTCTTGTTCAGATTTCTTTGAAAGTCATAACTGCCCAGTTTCATATCTAAAGCTATTATTATTATGAAGTTCTTTGTAGCCAACTCCTGAGAGGTACATTTCCTTTAATAAAACTTTCAATGGTGATCTCCCTACTAAAAATAAAAAAAAAAGAATGCAAAACAGAAATGCCTACACCAAGAACTGAATAATGATTGTAATAGTAAGTAATGTTAGATTAAAAAAAAACATTAAAATCCTACACACACAAACATACATACATACATACATACATACATATATATATTTTAAGACATTTTTATGTTATACATTATTTTTACAGATACAAATATTTAAGTAAATGCTCTGTTTATAATAAACAGTATTAAACAACATTTACCAGCCTGAATGTCTGAGAAATTTTCACAGAAAATATTCATCCTCCGACAGGATTTGAACCTGTATCCTATACGGAACCGTCATTTAGCTTGACGTGACTTTACCGAACGCTCCTCTGTGGCCAAATCGGTAAAGGCACATCAAGCTAAATGAAATATAATAACATTATATATATATATATATATATATATAAACACTTGTATGAACAGAACAAAATAAAAAACGCTTAATAGCAGTACCTTGTGAGTCATCTTTAATGTAAGTTGCATAAAAGAGGGATTGCTGCCCAAATACAAAACTGTCATTTTATATATATATATATATATATATATATATATATATATATATATATATATATTATGTTTATACATTCTTTTTATAGATAAAATATTTAAGTAAATGCTCTGTTTATAATAAACAGTATTAATAACATTTACTGGCCTGAATGTCTGAGAAATTTTTATAGAAAATATTCGTCCTCCGACAGGAATCGAACCTGTATCCTATACGGAACTGTCATATAGCCTGACATGCCTGACTGGCCCACAGAGGAGCGTTCGGTTAGCAAGGTCGATTTTACTGTCTTTAAACTACAATCTTCCATGATTCTCACACGTACATTCATATCTGCTTAAAGCTATCCAAATGTAAACAAATGACATGACACACACACATATATATAATTAAATAAAGGAATAACCTCCCAGCCAAATTTCAATGAAAAAGCAATTGAAATGGAATAATAATTCGATTAGTCATTTAATGGTTCCTGCTTAATTGATAAGAATTAAGAATCCATTTGAACTCATGTATAAAAGCCAAGTAGTAAACAATTCTTCTTTGTTGAATTTTCAGGCAGTTGATCTGCTAAGCAATGTCATTTACACACACCATGGATCTGACGAAGAACTCACAGAGCTGCTTTATGAACGTGGCAATCACCAAAGGGATGATGAACAATATTCAGAAGCCCTTTTGGTAAGTCCCTTTATCATACATGCACCATTCAAGTGAAATAAATCATGGAAATATTATCTCGGAAAAAGGGGGTGGGGAATGACGATATGATAGAAAAATACATTTATTTAATAGATAAATATACGTTCCGTATATTCCAACTGTTTTACACATACTTGGCATCTGGCCATTAATATTTACCCTGTTTACATGTCATCCATTGTCCTCATCCTTGTTGTTGCGATCACAACATTTCAGGCATTGTGCTCTCCAGCTTTTATCAGTTGTATATCAATCCGATTAACCTACATTCTCTGAACTGAACCCTTCATTTAATCCATTGGGGTAGATTGTTTTCCTTCCACTGCCAATAACTAGGGATATCTCCACTTATTTTTAATTATTGCTTAACCTGATTACCTTGCATTCAAGTACGCAGTACCTGGCCAAAGGATAATAGCTTCATGAATTAAGGCATTAGTTCATGAATTTGGTAAAATAGTAATTATGATATCAATTTTTTTTTTTTTAATAATTACCTTTCTCCATATTTATTTTCTGGAAGATATCATCAGTGTATACTTGGATGCAGGCAGTGGAATGAGAATCATAATTAATGTTTCTGTTCCTAATTCTTCCACACCCAGTAACCCCTTGTGTCTTAGTGACTTTACTGACTTGCATGAGGTGATACCAATTTTAGAAAAAAGCAGTCTAAAAACAAAAAAAAAAATGCATTCCACTATCAACCTCATTCTTGCTGTTATTATCAATCTAATTGATCAATGATGTGTTCAAACTAATTAGTTATATATATATATATTATAATAAAAAGAAAGAACAGTAAGATATATAATCCGTTGTTCTTATTGATATTTTTATTTTTACAAAACAGTGCTCAATGTAAATTTAGAGCATAAATATTATAAATTAACTGATTTAAAATGTTTTTTTCGCTACACAGGAATTACCATGTTTCAAAAACCAAAGCTAAAAACTTCAAATTATATAATAAAATTAAAAGTGTTAGTTCTGTTTCATCTTCAAGATTCAAAAATTTGCTTGAAGATGAAACAGAGCTAATGCTTTTAATTTAATTATATTGTTAAATTTGAAGTTTTTAGCTTTGGTTTTTGAAATATGGTAATTCCTGTGTAGCAAAGAAACCATATTTTGAATCAGTTAATTTATAATATTTATAATAATTAGGAATGTCTAATCTTTGGCAATCTCAGAACATTTAAAAAAGTAGACAGTTTCTTTTCTTGCACTTCCCACCTGTGGAACTCCCTTCCGATTACTTGTTTCTCTTATTTCACTTTAACTCAACTCTTCAAGTTTTTGTTCAGCCCCCAGCTGTAGCCAAGTACTGAACTCACAACTCTCTGGGTCAAGTTACTGGATGACTTCAATCAACACCTTTATCCACTTGAGAATTATGTTAAAGGAAAATAACTGATACTGAGATATCCGGAAGAGGCATGGCACGTGGAACTAGAACAATCTACCACGGTTAACGAAATAAAGGGTTTAGTTTGAAATTCCAATCACCTGAAGAAGCCTGGAGCATACAATGGCCGAAACGCTGTGAATATGGCATCAAAGATGAGGACAACAGTCTGAACAAAATAAATATTGTAAATAATTACAATACCTAATGTAGAGATATTGTAATTATAGACAAATATATTAAGCTATTTTTGTTTCAAAGCATCTGCATATTGCACCAAATGTGTGTCACGGGAAAGAAGATTTAAGCAAAAATAAGTAGTGGATAGCGGCTTGGATTGAGGAACTGAAGGGCCAAGTTTGAATTCCAGTTGTTTCCTTACACCGTACTAATACTCTTGGGAAAGGTATGAATCCTCTTCTTCTCCCCCCCCCCCTCCGCAATTATGGGTAAATAGCAGGACAGACAGGGTTCTATAGCCTTGGGTGGCAGCTGGTCTAGGAGAAGGACAACTCTGAATTCAAAACCTGTGGAGGGTCATTTGGGGACCTTTGTGGTACACGGTGCACCAAGTCTCTGTATTCAGCTCTTTGAACCTTCACCACTATAATCAAATCATACGTGCAGGTAGTCTGGTTGTCGGTTCCTAGTAATTGAGCAGCCTGACCCTCATACGTCATAGAGAGATATGTCGCAGTGAAAAAAGTGGTCCAGCAGGGAGTTCTTGTTTCCTTTTGCCACCTAGCAGTGATTTGGGGTTCCCGGTAGGTGCGGATTAACAGTCTGCATCTATCCATGATGGGAGATTCCATTATTAATGAAATACTATTTTTTTTTTTATAAAATAAGTAATGTTTTAAATTGTTTGATTAATATGAAGATTTTTTTGTTTAGTTTTTTGATATTTTGTGTCATCTAGATTAAATAATAATTTGTAGGACAAATCAGTTCTTTGTTTGATTCAACTAATACATTTGATAGGCTTGACAGTTGGGTTTCTCTGGCTGAGCTTGACTGCTACAGTCACAATAGTGACTGTAGCAGTCATTATATATAGGAATATTTTAGGAAAATCTATGACAAAGTGGAAAATTTTTTTGTGTGGTGCATTTCGTCCTTTAGGGCTTCATCAGTCTAAAGTGATGTTTATATTGATGTGATTACACATGTTCATGAAGGAGAAGATATGCTGAAATTTTAAATTTAAAAAAATTTTTTTTTTTTTTTTAATGTGTTTTGGGGATATAGTCTCGTCAATTTAATTTCTTTTTATCACTTTTGTTTTTAAATATCCCACATTGTGATAATAGATCTGTCAAAAAAGGCGAAATGTTGTAAGAACTCGGACATAAATTTACTGTGGATGATCTAGCAATTAAAGCACTTTCTATACATTTTTGTCTAAATAAATTACTGTGTCTTGTAATTTTTTTTGAAAATCAATATTATGGTCAGATTCATTACAGTGAGAAATTAATGCATGGAGTTTGTTGTTTTATAAAATATCCCATTTGTATTCATGTCATCTTTTAACATATTGACTTGAATATAACATGACCCCATGTTTATGAGCATGAAAACAGGAAATAAATTACATACATGGGTATAATACAACATCATAGTACAGCCATTTTTATATAATTTTTTTTTCTTTTTTAAAATTGTACCATATTATCTATTAAAACCTCAATGTCATATAAAACACAGATTGTGTGTGTGTCTGTAACGTTTATATGTTGGATCGAATTTCCTACATTTTTTCACAGGACTACATAAAATTACCTTGTGGTGGTTCTAACGGGACCGAAAATGGGAAAAACACAGTTGTTTTTTTAATAAAATCAATTTGAAAACACGATTAAGACACATCGTGAGAATGAAAGGGGGACAACTCACCCACGAAAATGTAAACAAAGGAGCATAGCATGATGAAAAAGACGCCGAACTTGACGAAAACAATTTTATCGTCTAATGTTCATATTATTATTAAAGAGGAAAGATCAAATTATTTTGGGGGTATTTTTTTACATTTTTTAATCGTTCCTAGCACGTCTGAAATTTTCGTTAAAAATATTTTTTTTTTTGGTCAAAAATAAGGACAGATAATCGTTTTCAATCATTTTTTCGATTTGATAAAAAGATTAAATCTTACTTTGATATTCTTTTAAAAATCAATTATCATTTTTTCAAAAACTGATTTTAATAAAAACAGAAATTATACTGTTTATTTAAAAATATTTTGAACCAAGCTTAACTTAGCTTCTGCGCCGAAAAAATGTAATTTGAAAATAAAACAAAACAGGTCATAACCTTTCGTGTCGCTTGACGATTGACAAAGGGCACATTCATGACGTTTAGATAACTTACGGAGGAGAATTCTTTCTACGGATGGAAGGAAGTGAAATTATTTAAGTGAACAAATTATTTACCTTGTTACTTTTTAAGGAAAACTTTCAGCGCTCTAATTTTTATTTTTATTTTTTTTGTACTTAGCTTTCATTTTTACGTTTACGATGCTTTATATGGAAAATATAAAGAAATTAAAAAATAAGACTGTTAATAGTGATTAAATTTCATAAGAAAAAAAGGTATCTAATTAATTTAGGTACCTTTCTTATGAAATTTTATCAGAAGTGTACATAAATACTATAATTTTATGTACATTTATTACATTTTACTGTGTTATTTATATTTCCATTCATTTTATTATTAATTTTGATATTTCATTTATGGAAAAATGTCATAACTGAAATTAATATAAAAATAAGATCATATAAATTAAAGTTTAGCAATAGTTAAATTTCATAAGATGATACTGTTGCTTGTAGGTACCCTTCTCAGTTGAAATTGAAAACTCAAATCAAACTTCTCCATCCGTGTTTCGCAAAAAGTAAAAGGGCTTAACAGCGGAGAACAATGCTGAACTCAAATAATGCAACTAAATTGTATTCTGGTTGGTCTTCCGTACTTGATAATTACTGTCCGACTATAAACACAAAAATTACATTTCTTAATTACCATGGCTAATCTGATTGGTCCAAATTATACAATTTTCAAAGTGCTAGACAATGACAATCTCACACGGACATTTTGAAAGGTTGATGTTGCTTTTAACTAATGTTAAAATATTTTTTAAAATTCAATTTAAACATTTTTTAAAAATCTTTTAAAATTAAAGAAATAAGAAATAATTGTATTAAAAATTCAATTTTCATTGAAAAAATTTTTGCTTTCAGAAAATATTGTCCATATTCATAAAAACAAATTAAAACAAATAAAAAGCATTTGAAACTAAATATATATTTGTTTATTGATTTTGTATGTTACAATTCACAGCTGATTTTCAGGTACGTTGGCCAAAAAAAAAAAAACATGATTTGCATTCTTCAAAGCCTTGTGCTTTTAACTATTGTAATCACTAAAACCGATGGTCTCGAATTTCTAGAGTTTTCATAAAATTAGTTATGGGGTGTTAATAAATATAAAAAAATATTTCTGCCATGACTTTAATAAAAAAAAAACATATTTATATTAATTTCGATCATCTGTGAATAGTTTCTGAAAGTTTCAT